CCGCAGCCGGAGAGCAAAAACTGTAGACCGACCCCATTTTGTTGTTTTAGCATTTTATCATTTTTTTTCTTCTCTAAAACAAGGTCGATCGTGACGTTTCTGAAAACAAATGCATTTCACAACCTGAAACATTGGACGGTTGAAACAAAGCCAAAGATTAAAATAAATACAACAAAATAAATCCATGTAATTTCTACTTCAAACACGTTTCTTTGCACGAAACAGACTTTTGCGACGACAGGGAGAGAGAGACAATCGTAGCATATAATTGTCATAATGGGTAAGACACAAAAAACGACAATAAGATTGACGAAGTGAAACGTTGTGCAGTTTGGCGTTTCATTTCATTGCCTTTTTGGACGTTTGAACTTTCTTCATTGGACGTGATTTTATTTCATGTTTATGGTGGACTCGGCTTTTCCAGCCATTTCTTGGTTTGTCGTTTCTGACTTTAAGAGAACCACAAAGAACCATGAGTTGATTTAACAAAGACATTCATGGCTAAGCCATGATAAAAATAGGGTTGATCCCGATCCTCAGATGAGCTCCAACTTTCTCTAATCGTAAGTCTGGAGAGACTACGGCCACGCTGATGCCCCGGCCTGGCTCTCTCAGATGTACTTACATCCACTACGACGCACCACGATATGTGCGAACTGAGGCACAAATACATATAAGAATCACTCCTCCTGCTCTTTGAAAGCACGCGTTGGGAACTCAACACAAGCGTCCTGTGTAAACTCTCCCCCGCAGAAGAAAGGCATTCTACAATTTGAATTGACTTCATGAAGTGTAAAGTCAGGCTTTTTCGACGAAAATAATCTCCGATTTTATTTGTGTCCAGTAAAAAAAATATGCTCGTGACGATATTTCTTCTTCTATCCAATCTTCTTCAACTCTAAAGGCTAGATTATTATTGTCGCGAAGAAATGCAACACCACGGTTGTTGTCACTCGATGACCTCATTTAGTTAAGAGCGAAAAGTTCCATTATTTTCTAGATCGTCATAAACCAAGCGAGAGCACAATCCTCAGGAATGGACCTCACCCAAAAGAAGCAAAGCATGCACCAAGCAAGCCCCCATTTAAATATAAGCCCGATAGAAGAAAAAGTTCAAGTCAAGAGTTAGTTGCCTCACTTTTTAACACTTCCTTCCTTCCTCCCATCATCCATCCTACCACGTACCAACGTCGTGACATTACTGCCAAGAAGAACCAGTAGCTATGCTCCCAGTGAAAGTGGTGCTGGTAGAGCAGCCAGAGTCTGCTTTCTCCACAAATATGGATCCCTTTCCCAAACTTCAAATGTCAGGCTGTAGCGGACGAGAAGAGCTCCGTGGTGGAAATATTCGCTCCGTTTGGAAAACACTATTTTTGAAATATGTTGTTGGGAAACACTTGGAATTTTGAATGAGACTTTTAACTCAATCCATTTAGATGCGCTATTGTGGTTCGGGTGAAAAAAAAATGTGTCGGGAGCAACTCAATTTTCACACAAAAGTGCCTTCTTCTTCTTCTTCTTCGCGAACCTTCTCCACATTTTGTTTCAAAATCAGCAATCCACCACTTTAATCCATGTCAGCAGCTGCCTTTTCGCCTTCCTGGAACAGCTTTGGTGGTAGCATTCTTCACCAAAGTTCTTCTACAACCCTCGTACACGTACTTTATGTTTGGATTTTCCTCGAATCACTCCGATTTGGATCACTTTGGCTGCAGCTTTCTTTCTCTCTCTCTTTCTCTTTTTCACCAAAGCGTTCCTTCGTCGTCGTCGGCTTCCTCGTCGTCGTCGCTATTTAGCCACGTTCTTATTGTAGGATTTGGATTGGAACTTTGAACTAAATTGAGTCCTTTGGGAGTGATGGGGCAGGAAAGGACAAAGCAAGAGGGCAACTTTTTCCGCCTCCTCCTTCCTTTTACATGGCATTGCATCGAACACTCATCGTTCTCCGTCCAACTCGCCAACAACTTTAACTTGTTTTCGCACACACACGAGTCTAAAACTACTTTCGCAACTGTTCCGGCTGCATGAAAGTTGTTGGTTCGAAGGACAAGCAGAAGAGGTGAAAAAATGGGGCAAGGAAATGTAATGGTTGTTGGACAAGCTAGTGAGGAAAGTTAACAGTTGTACGATCTGATTGATGTCTATTTTTTCCAGGCCAGGAGGAAATAAGAAAATTATAATCTTGTGTAAAGATAAATCTAAATAACTGGGTCAAAAAAATGGTGCCAAAATTTCAGTCATTACATAAATTTGAGGTGCATTTTTATATGGAGAGTAAAAATGCAGCCTTATTTCTATTCTGTGTCATTGTTATTGCCAAACCAATATGCTAAGTATAATTTCGACATTCGATGATGTAAGTGTAATTAACTTTACTAAATGTTTATAGTCTTATTTGCATTAAAATACCTTCATTTTCTAGCTATTTATCATTCACCCACTTTTCGCATACGCTGGTTTCTTTCTTTACATATTCATGTAGCTAAAGTGCAAGTACAATCTTTCAGCAATATCTCTCAATTTAAAAGAACGATTATTTTTAATCAGGTCTTGTGTAAGTAAGTAAATACGTGTAAGTTATGGGATAAGTAGGAGTAAATAGACCCACGTTGTTTTCAAATTGAACTTTCTCTCCAAATGCCAACAAATCTCTCAGATTGGACGTAAATGAGTCCCCCTTGAAGCAGAAATCGTTCAAGACAAACACATCTCGTCTCCTCCACAACTTTTAATCTGAACTCTGGATTCTTGTAAATTGGCATCGCCTCACATACATACACACTCACACACAAGTAAAAACCACGAGTCAGTTATACGTAGAGAGGAGAAAGCAAGTCTTTCATTTCACCCAAACTTTGAAAGCTTGCTGATTGGTGACCGAGTAGGTCGAAAGAGCTGAGGAGTAAATTCTGTAAATAACCTGATTACAGAATCCTGAGCTGAGTGAGTGAACCTTCCTCGACGTCGTTGTCGTCGTCGTATGGTTTAGTTTCTTTCCTTCACTCGGTTCCTTTCAAAATTCTCACACCATGCACCTCATGCACCAAACGTTCCAATCCTCCATAGGCTAAGCACCGACATTTTTTTTAGCCATGTCTGACGCAAATTGCTGATGGCTGGTAGTCTTTTATGCCAAGGCATCAAACAAAGTAGGAAAAGTTTGGCGTGCCACTTCAAAACAAAGAAACTATTTCAAGATTTCAACTCCAATTGCAGTCGAAGAAAGCTATAATCACCACCACAGCCACATTTTCACTCATTTTCTCTCCTCTCCCCACTTTAAGGATTTTCTCGCTCACGATAAACAAATGGAGTAGCTATTATTTACTCTATTGCGTAATAGACTAGCTCATTGAGATTGAGTGGATCGGATTGGAAACATGGAGACGATGATTATTTGAACAAAGCATTATTTGTTGAAGAAGTGTGCTGGCAAAGTGCACATTTTTTTTTGCCTAGATGAAGCCCACTTAGGATAGGAGGAGTAAAATGGGGACTTAAATATGCACGATATAAGCCAATCATGAAAGCAACCTTTGATGAATTTATAAGGAGAAAGCGTTTGATATACGTAGTTCAAAAATATTGTTAAAGTTGAGTTGGAGATTTTTGTGAGGAGGATTTGCTGGTTTTGCTGACCGAAAACAATCTGGAGTCGGCAATCGTCATATCGTCCAACTCTAAAGGATTATATTTTTTTCTTTGAGGATCCTTAACTTTGATGGTATTGTGTGTTACATTAAATAGTAAGTGGAGAAAGTTTGGTAGTCGGATGGTGTATCTGGATAGATGGGATGGTTCAGGGTTGGCAATTTCAAGATGAAACGGCCAGCTTGCAGAAAGGAAGGTGTTGACCAGGGAGTAAATCCTAGGGGTTTTGGCCCAAGGAAACGGATTTCCGTCAAAACCCGGATATATGAGACTCCGGAGATTTATGACGATGACCTAATCCTCCTCGCTCTTATCAACATTCTGCGGAGGACACAAACTGACAAAATCCAGACCAATTTCTTACCCAACCGGCTCTGACATAACTACACAAACGTTCCCCCCAGGCGGAAGGATTAACTGCCGTATATTTCAAGATAACTTCGTTCCCCTCCCAAAGTTATTATGCTCAATGTTTTTAAACACTTTCATTTACCATGAATGATGCACGTAGAGCAAGGTTTCAGGATGTTGGTGCAAAAAATTAATGGAATAAATAAAAAATATACTCTTCAATAATTAAGTTGGTTTCAACAATCACATTTCCACGACAAAAGTACTTACACAGTTTATGTATATAGGATGCACCACAGTCGGTGGTATGTACTAGGGAACTGATAAGACTGAAACCTAGTATATACCCACTTATTTGAGACAGCTTAATGATGCACATGATGAATAAGCTATATTCACCAAAAAAATCAAATGACATAGACGTCTGAATCCTTATCGATTCCCGTCGTGAATAACAATTTGTTCGGAACAAATTGTTCCAAATTTAAATATTTTCCAAAGTCTGAACATAAAATTTTTTGTCGTAAGCGTCTCCTCGTTTTTCTCCACCGGATACATATTTCCAACTTAAAACATTATACATCCTGACTGCTAGTATCTGCAACTAATAAATAATTCCTGAACGGAGAAAGCAGAAACTGCAGCAGTTGAAACTAAGCTTCGTATGAAGTGAAAGAAAGTATAAAAGCACGTCATATTTTCCCCAAAGTTACATCACGATCACTATTTTTTGTCGGTGATGTGCTCAAACTTAGTTGAAGTAAAAGTGCTCAATCTTTTTTTCCATGAAATAAAACTCATTCATTTCAATCAAGGGGAAAATAGGATTACATGCATTTTAGGGCATATTCTTTTACACGGGAAATAATTATTCATGAGATTCCTAAAATGTGAGCTTCAAAAACACATTTCTAATATTATTTATAAATTGGGTTACACTCATAATAATCAAAATTCTACATGTGTAATAATCGAAATTTTCTCATGTTTTTTTCCAGAACGGTTCCTCAGCCCTGGACACAAATCCTAACCTCTTTGGTTTACCATTTGGAGGGCCCAACGGGTCGAGAGATTTGGGACTGTTGACAATCCAGAAGACTGGTAGTGGCTCAAACACACGATACAGTGTTCACGCATCCCAACCTCGACGGGACCCCGCATTTGCGAGCGTCGCGAGTGACATCATCCGAAGTCAGGCCATTTTCAAATGCGTCCCTGTTCACTTCCGGCAAGAGGTTGGACCCACCGTGACCGGTCTGGCCAGCTTTCCCGGCAGTGGGAACACTTGGGTTCGCTATCTCCTCCAATTGTCTACCGGTGAGTACTTATTTAGTTGCAGGAAATGTGCAAACTTCCAAAATGAAAACATTTCACCCTCCAATCTGACTAAATAAAGTGGCATGCGATAGGAAAATAGGGCAGATAAGTACTTATGTAAGTAGCTAACTTGATAACGTACTTTATAGAGATAGCAGTAGCACTATCCACCCTATTTAAATCAGCCTCATCCAAATTACACACCCTAGAGTGCCGCATATTTCAATTCATTCCGCCTTGGAGACACGAATTTTTTGATGCGAATTTAGATGAAGTGAATTCAGGAATCAGTCTGGAAGTGCCATTACATTCAGCAGGAGTAGTCGTCCCTCCAAGACGGAGGACGACGAATGAGTGGGTGGGTTGGTTGCAAGGGTGGCCGCGTGTCAAGTGGGAATTGAGTTGTCAGGAGATTGACGACTCAGTTGACTGAATAAGATTGAGTCCCAAAATTTAAATGGAAATCAGAACCTGACCCTGCCTGCAAATAGAACGAGTGTAGCCTCTCAATTCGCGTAGTATCCATGCAGCCAATCCATGTGGGATTTTGGGTCTTCACATAGATCCGGATGGATTCCTAGAACGATCGTGACATGCCAATAAATTTTGTATTAAACACAAGGCGCTTATTGACTCAGGGAAAAGTCACTGTATGAGCTATGAGCTTCATATTTCCGAAAACTGTTTTGCAATCACAAACTAAATCAGATACGAGTGATGACTTGTAGTTTATGTAGTCTAAAATATTCATACGTGTGTCGAGGAAATCGGTGAAACCTGTAAATTCCCATAAAGTATCAATCAAGTAAAATAGAGCAGCAAGGTACAAGTTAAACTTGGGTGACACATGTATGTCCCCATAAAACCCTGTTATTTCACATTTCAGTTTTATAACCATTTGAGAGATAAGAAATGAATGAAAGACAAACAAAGCATTAGACAGCAAGTGAAAGTTCGCATTGTTGAGATTTCATAATTTCGCAGAGATTAGCATCGACCCCAATCAGTTTGAGCGTGCCATTATTATTTAGAACGGCTCCAAATGCTGCCGGCGTAACAACTCTGTCGTTATCATCTTCTCATCTCATTCTCACTGCCGTCCTTTGTTTATTTGTACCCATTTTCAGGAATTTTCACTGGAAGTGTTTACAAGGATTTTGCCCTACTACGGAACGGATTTCCAGGCGAGAGTATAACGAACGGACGCGTGCTAGTCGTAAAAACCCACGAATCTGGTCCCATGGCACGAGCACAGTTTCAAAAAGCCATCCTCCTCGTTCGAAAACCAGCAGAGGCAATCCTGGCCGAATTCAATCGAAGAGCTGCTGGACACATTGGTCATGCCGGTAAAAGCAGAATTAACGCATTTATTCTTATGTAGATGTAAATGTTGTATTTAAATGCTTTATTTAAATATGAATGTTCAAGAAAAACACGACGGAATCTTAAAATTCTTCAACCAATTGAAATGAGTTCTTAACAAAACGAGAAGTAAATAGGGATACTGACACTAAAAGAAAAGGGAAACATATCCGTCTATCTTATGTACATTGGATTTGGAAATTTAAGTAAATGAGCATTAATTATTGAAGAAAATGATGAAAATCTTTTTTGCGTTGCCATTCCTTGATGGCAGTATAACCAACGAATTAAAGGACCTTCGTGCCTGAAGCATGAGGGCGTCACTTCAGTAGATTTTATTATTTGGTATGAAAAATAGTCTGAAAGCATACACACGCATGCAAAATTTATGTCACTCAATTAATAGCCATTAATCAGACAAATTTATTAAGCTTCATTACTATTAAAAGCACAGATTTGTGGCATGAAATGATTAGACAATTTCTCTCTGAGTATATTTTAAAATATGAATTTGCAACAGTTTTCTGCAAATGGAAAACTATCATCGCCTTCTACTTTGATCATGTCGAGAGTAAGTTGTTCTCAGGGGATAAGGGGGACATGTCAAAACTTGGGTGTCAAATAAATGTCACCATCAATCATTTGTCTCACAAGACGGTAAAACTCTTCCTTCAGTTTTCCTGCAAGTTAACAGAGCAGAAAATTAAAATATTAATACTAACAAGGGAACCTTAAGTACTGTCACCTCTCGATTTCCTTCGGAATAGCCTTATTCGACAGATAATTTAGTGAAACAAAAACTTTGTCATAGAACATGCGGTGCAAAATCGCGTTTTCGTGAAATATTTGGCGAGAGCTGCACCAAAACCTGCCATTTGCCCAATGCTTTTAACATAGCCACCAGCCTTTCGAATGATGAAATGAACTTTATAGAATCTCAATAAATTATATTTGTACCTGTCCGCGTAATTTCAGCCCGATCACGAATATGCAAAAAATGATGCAAAGATTCGCAAATTTTTTGCACATTGCAAAAATGCAAATATCCGCAAATTTGAATTTCTTCGTTTTTTTTAAATTCAACAAATTTATCAGTTTAACTGATATAAAGTATACTTTTCTGATTGCCAAAAAATTACAAAAATTTGCAAAAGATTGAAGTTTACAATTTTTAAATTCTGCTTTTTATAGAAACTTAGGAATTATCATATATGCTGGTATGAGCGAATAAAAAAAGCTAATTTGTTGAACAATTAAAACATGCTAACATTGCAAAAAATTCTACATATTGAACTATAAAATTGCACCAAGTTTTTGCAACTTGTAAAAATAAATACCACAAATAATTACGAAAACCACGTAAAAATAGATTATTTAATTTATTTTCATGAAAAATTGCGAAGTTCAATTTTTTGAAAATGTGTGCAAATTTTTTGCAATGACAAAAGTATATTTTATATCAGTTAAACTGATCAATTTGTTGAATTAAAAAAACGAAGAAATTCAAATTTGCGGATATTTTTATATTTTCGCAATTTGCAAAAAATTTGCGAATCTTTGCATCATTTTTTGCATATTCGTGATCTGGCTGAAATTACGCGGACGGGTACAAATATAATTTATTGAGATTCTATAAAGTTCATTTCATCATTCGAAAGGCTGGTGGCTATGTTAAAAGCTTTGGGCAAATGGCAGGTTTTGGTGCAGCTCTCGCCAAATATTTCGCGAAAATGCGGTTTTGCACCGCATGTTCTATGACAAAGTTTTTGTTTCACTAAATTATCTGTCGAATAAGGCTATTCCGAAGGAAATCGAGAGGTGACAGTACTTAAGGTTCCCTTGTAAGAAATGTTTAAGTCCTTACGCTATTTCAATCTTAATTCGAAATCTGATCGACAATTTAATAAAACCTGGAACTGGTTCTCGGGCGACAATCTCGTTTGGATTGGATTCATATTCAATTGTCATGTTGTAACACACATGATTCTTTTTCTACTTCGGATCTGGTCAGATTGGGCGACATCCTATCGTGTCTCAATATATATGTAAATAATATTCGCGGCTGGCGACAATGGCGAAATTATGTCGACGACGACAAACAGGTGGTGAAAGTGAAGACTGGTTCCATTCTCCATCTTCATTTTCATTATCCGTGAAAAGGGGTCGATGAACCTCACCCTCTAAATCTTTATTTTGTCAATTTCAGGAAGAGACAAGTATACGAGAAATGCAGGACGATGTAAGTGTCTCGATGACATTCTCTCTCCTCCTCTCAGCCGAATTTTGGCTTGAGGAAATCTTACACAGCTTAAACCCCCTCATCCGCAAAATAGCTTTTAACAGTTTCCCGACATGAAATGTCCATTTGATTGATGGCCGTGGCGAACGGATTTGGTGGAATGTGTAGCATTTTATTGGATTCGAGTGGATTTGTGTGTTATTAATTGTGATGATATGAATTTACATGAGACAGTTGAACACACCAAAACTCGAGTATATAAAAGTCAAGCGTATTAATATCAGCAGCAGTGCACTTTTTTTCTACCGTTGATGTTCCCCTTTCGTCTAGAAAACGAGAGAACCTTTTCTCGTGCCAGGGGAATAATAACTGGCGACCCGGTCCTGTCGTAATGGGATTCCACACCAGAACATTCAACGACCATCTCAGAAGCCATATGTGAAAATAAGCGACCTTTCCACAATCCACCATGCTTTTTTGCCAAAATCTTGAATGCAAATACAGGATTTGTCATACCGCACCAAAGTGAAAGCTTACCCTGCTGTCTCTGCCTCCTAAAACTTTCATGCAGGCTGAACACAGATTTATACAAAAGTGTCACTGTAGTTGATTCCCACCCAGAATATCAATTACTTTACGGGCCGGTAACAAGAAGAAAGTGGAATGCATTGAACTTTTAGAATTATTTGGTCGTAATAGGATATCGTTTTCGGAGAAAGTTTTCCCCTATATCAATTTCAAATAAGTATTGCCGTTAAGAAGTTTTTCCTGCTATTCCACAAATGATGATACAAAAGATGAGAAGGACATGATTTTTGTCCTCTTCATCACGTGCACTTGATACTTTTCCAACATCTATACGATGTACGAGCATGGATAGACGTAGGGAGGGGTACAATAAAAACCACTCGATCCGACTGACTTGATAGTTGATGATGAGGAACAAAAGAAAAGTTGTCTCATGTTGTAGTATTGTTGTTGAATGGCGTAATTAATAACATTTTCTGTTATTTTCGGCCGCAGATTGGTCCTCCTTTGTGGCACAGAAGGGAAAGTCCTGGACAGAGACGAATCTCGACTGGATTGAAGGATTTCAAGGACCTTTGCTCATCTCGATGTATCACCAACTGTAATTAACTTTTATTCTACTTTAGTAACCAACTAACTATTGTATACGAAAAGTATTTCTTAACATGATGATGACGATGATGATGATGATGAATTTTTTGCTTTCAGGGTGCAAAATACGACACAAGAACTGACCACAATTCTTGATTTCCTCGGGGTACGATTTCTTTAACTTTCTTTCCCCACTTTTTCATTACTCTCTCGTTCCTCCACTTTTCATTCAGTCGCATTTTTCTCAATCAAATTCTTATTGCAAAAGGGGCTAGGAATGAAATATTGAAACAATTCCAAAATATATATTTATTGAGACTTTCTCCCTTTCCTCCTCCATTTGTTTTGTGTGTGTATGTGCACTACATACACTGTAAAGTTCTGTGGTTTGATAGAGAAACGCCTTTTATTTTATAAAGAGAGAAATATAAGATATATATGCGCACCATTGAGAGGAAAATACATATAATCTTCTTTTTTTTACTGTAGGAACCCGTGACAGAATCTGTAATGAACTGTGTCATCAACAACAAAGAAGGGATTTATAGACGTCGCAAGAAAAATGTTCAGTTTAATCCATTTACTTCAAAAATGGAGAAATTTCTATCCATTCAGGAACGCATCGTTTACAACGCCATACAACGCAGAATGCGAAAAGAAGGCACCACCACAACGTTGGGACCTTCTGGTCTTCTCCTCTTTAAAAACACCGCCGTCGTCAAAAACAATCATCACGATTTGGATAGCTACCTTAGCTATACGAATAGTAATAATAATAACGAAAGTAGTAGTCAGAAAGGAGAAATTATCAGCCAATAAGGAGTCTCGAGGGAGGGGGCGGAGGAGACAAAAATGGGATCCTGCAGAATAATACTCGACAGCATGACGCAAGGCCGATAAGGACGAGAACCTCCTTTATCTTATAATAAGCTAAAAACAATCTGATTGATTGAGATTAAATGGGTAAATGCATTATTGCACCAAATCACCTTTCTGTACATGCACGGTTAACAATTACGTACGTAGTTCCAGAGAAGGTGGGCCACACGTCAACTTGAAATGAATGAATATATAACTCGAAAATTACAGAAATTTGTGAAAATGGAACTTTATTGCCCAAAATTCTTGCACAATTTTTGCACACGAACGATTACTTTGGGTTTTACGTAAAAGGTCACTCCATCATTTACTGTCTAGAAATCTCATTTCTATGTATGTAGCTCATGATATGTATAAGTCAAGAAAATAGGCACTGGTGCAACTTGGAAATTTATACTTACAATCAGTACAGTAAGAAATTGGATATTATGCAGAGAAACAAACGATACAACAAATCGTATTTTTACAAAGGTGTGCAAGAGAAAGTGGTATTAAATTGGATAATTTTAGTAGAGTTGATACATAAATAGCACTATGTAGAGCTACTTATCTATCTATGTAGTGGTACTGTTAATGTATGCATGACATGCATTTGTGAATGTTGCCTATACACTGATTCGAAAGGGTACACGTACATAAATATATTATAAATCGTACTTGCAAGTATAAGCATATAGTCAAAGTTGTATATTGTGTACATAAAAAATAGCTTTCTTCGAACGTCGGTTCTAAAAGTATTCGTAACAAATTCGTAACATTCTGACGGTGCTCCAGAAATGTAACAATGATTGAACCATGAGGTAATTTGTACCTTTTAGTAGAATTAGTTAGATTAAGTGAGTAGTCAAATAAGAAATACTAGTTTTCAAGCAAATATTTTAAAATGCACAAAATAACGCACCGGACGTATAAGAGAGTTAAGAGATACTTAGGATAAGGGTTAGAACTAAAAATGCCGAATTATTTGATGCAAATTAATGCAAGGCGAAATCCACGCTACTTCCGAATCATTTAGAGTTAGCATTTACTAAATTTTAGTAGTATTAAGATTGTAAACGCGAATCGTAGTGTAAAAATGGATCAGATTATGTATTAACGTTTCATCAATCAACAATTTTACAAATTCCATGAAAAATTTTTTCATTCGAAAACAATTAGTGCAAATGAAAACGCCAAATTATTGAAACATTTTCAGCAACAAGTAGTTGTGCAACTTATAATGATGCGTAAAAAATTTTAATGTGTACTACAATTAATAAGGTCCAACAAAGATCCTACTCAAACCATCTTATTTACTTACATACAATGGGACTTATGCCAAAATTGAAATTCATACACAAACAAATACAAACGAATTTAGAATTTATATATACTTTGTTTTTATTTACTTAATCATGCCAGTCAAATTTATAAGAAGGGTTTCTCATATTATTGTTATCTAAATTTATTATAATATTTTCCGCTACGGAATGATAAATGTACGAAAAATGAAACAGATATATGAAGACGATCCTTTCCATCGCCACACACAGTATTACGAATATAATATAATACATAATTACAAAAATTATGCTATACGTTGTGAGATATTTATAATGCTTTCTCTCTGTGTGCCCGTAAATATATATATATGTAGTTATTGTGTAGAGTAGACATGCACAGCTTATTGGTGTGAAGATACAATTACTAGCTTGATTTAAGTTTAATCCTACATTACGAATCGTTTCTGTTTGGCCAATTCAATTCTAACCAGTATAATTCAATCTAATTTGTTTTATTGGTTCATTTTACAAAGAGTAAAAGGTTTCTGTGAAACAAAGAGCTATAAATTCTTAATTAAATTATCCCAGGCATTATTGAACATATTAAAAATAAGATTAAGTACTGAATGGATATTAAACAAATGGTGATTTTCGTACGTAAATAATAAACTCTAAATAAATGTACTGCAGAAATATGCTAGCTATACTGATTATTTTCACTTATCGCATATCAAACAACCACCCAAATCGATTTCTAGCAGTATAAATCAAAGTCGATTCGCTTTGAAGAATAGAATCCACCAGTTTGCTTATGTTTCCGAACAAAAACGCCGTCCTTGAAAAAATCACCTGTAACCCAAGCACTCATTTCCGAGGATGAGTGTGGTCCATAAATCGGTGCGTCTTCTTTGTCTTCCCACTTAAACTCCCACATAACTTCGTCACTCGCATCGTCAATGTTACGCTCCTTCTCGTCACCAGCAGCCACATTTGTCGACGCAGATGATGATTCGGATTTATTCTTAGTTCCTTCAGGAGGTATTTCAAAGTCATCGCCAAACATGTCCGACCCATCATCTTCTTTCAGTACGGCAGGCTGACGTTTTGGTTTCGTTTCTTCACGGTTGACCTAAATTAAGCAATAATAATTTCTGTTAAAAATCGTCCCGATGAAATTTCAGTTTTAGAAAGTTCAGCTTGAATAGTACTTTAAATTGTATGCTTTCAAACGTTTCCTGGTAAATGTCCATATTTCCCGTGGCAGAAAGTATAGCATTAGCAATCTCGGTGACTTTCTCCACATCTGTCATCTGTACAACAGTTTCAGGGGTTTCACTAGAAGCGGCTGCTGTGGGTGGAGTCGAAGTTTCAGCTGCTAATTTTTGCATTTTCTTTTGCTTTAACCTTTCAGAAGCAGACAATTGTTTATTTCCACCTAGAATAAATAAAAATTAACTTTCACTATGTATCACTTAGGATTAGTATGTGTAGTATGGTTGTACTACATTGCATGTAAATTTATTACGTGTATGTAGTGCATTTATGTACTAACCTAGCCGTTTAACTGCTTTCAGGACAGATTCCCCTTTTTCAAGAAATTGTATCAACTGCTTGTATAGGGCCAAAACATCCACTTTTTCATCTTGCTTTGAAATATCATCGCTATCGTTGGTAGATTCACCATCAGGCTTCTCGGGACGCTTAACCTATAAAATGCCACCAGAAATTTGTTTTAAATATATTTGATATAAAAAAATAAGTATTCTAAGTATATCTAAATTATTTGTACTTACTTTAACCCAGTCAATGGAATCCAGCCAACTGTCCTTAACCTCTGAACCGTCTCCTTTGTTCCAAATATAAGTTCCTTGAGCGTCAAAGTACCCCTCTTCCAGCTCGTCCTTCATATTAAATGGGGTGATTTTGGTTTCACCATCAAATTCTATAGTGGACGATTCTTGTCCTAGGAAATATTACATTGAACAAATTAATTTCAACTATAAATTGAAAAGTATAATAACTGAGAATTGTGCAAAAATCTGTCATTACCTTCAATGTCTTCCTCATCCATGACCTGATATTTTTTCCGGTTGTATTCTTCCTCGTCGGCATCTTCTTCGTCCGAGTCGATTGTATGTCGCTTATTCGAAGAGGTTTCAAACTTTGACATTTCTGCCTCAATCCCTGCACTATAGTCGTCCGTCGCATCTTCCAACTTTCTCTTTCGATGCAAAGACATTTCGATTTACAATGGTTATTGTGCTAGTTAGGTAACCTGTGACCTTTATTTATGTATGGCAGCACCAATACAGTTCCACAAAAGTGTGCAATTAATATTAACGCAACAAACAAATATTCAAGTGCAACTCTGTTGAATTCATCACAACGTAATGAAAAATCGCAATCCCGGCTGAATCTCACTGTCCCTCGTCGTGCAGCTGGTTTTCAATTCATATTCATGGCACAAATCGGCTAATTGTGGAATAATAATACATATACAATTACTATTCTATTTATTTGGCTATATGGATTATGGATGGACAGATAGTGGATAGTGTGACAGTTGATGAATCATGGACGTACGAGGTGAATCTTACACAGTTATATAAATAAACGTAAATACAATAAGTTTAAATTAAAATACACTTTCAACTTTACACAACCAAATTAGTTCTACAACTTTGTTAACCTTATATCTTAATTGAAATTTTAACTATAGTTGCAAAATGGAAGAGATGGAGACAATTGCGAACAAAACTCTGGCAGAGAAACACCTCCGAAAATTTGGCTCATTTTTAGAGGATCACAGCCGACGTTTACTTGACGTGACGGAGAGAGATGTGGGAGGAGGACGGAAAGACGACCCCTCGTCGACCGGATATGTTAAATCCTATGCAAAAATCCATCATATCTGGGACCAGTCCACATGTCCGATTCGGCTAAGTTGGACTCCCATTCCGGATGGACTGACTGGATTTGAAGAGATTATCTCCATCCCTTTACCCCCGGAAGGAAATCCAGACGTGCAAAAGGTGCTTCTAGTCTTAACGAACCTCACCCACCAGCTAAATTTGCTAAGGGAGCAGATACATGCCAAATTTATTGTGCCCCTTCTCCTCTACGGGGATGGGTTCGAGGAAGATGGTTCACTTTCTGGTCATGATACTGCATCCTTGTCGGAAGGAGATGGTCATATCGCGATAGCAAAATTCATTCCACTACTTCATCAGCTACACCAGCTACTTAAGGTTGGGAAGGACCTTTGCATTCATTGGATGGCGCAGATGGGTGCACTTTTTAAGGATTCCAAACCTCATGTCGTAGTCATTTCCAGTTTGCAGTTACACACAGTGTTCCGATCCTTTGGGGATTTCCTTGGTGTGCTTATCATTTTAGATGAAGTTATCCGTGCTCAGTTTGTGCTGAAAGAACATTGGTCAAAGTATCGTCAAATGGTAACCTCAGTTCAAGCGGATTCCGAGTCCTTCGTCTCAGGTACGGAATCTGACAAACTGCTTGCCTTAGATCGTGACATGTTTTTTCTCGAGAAGGAGGTGGTATCGGGACACACTTTTAAGAACATGCTGCACGAATTGGTTCGATTTGGGGGCAAAGGATTTGCAAAAGGGGCTTACATACAGGAAAAGTTTCAAAGTTACCTGGCCCAAGTGGGTCCATCAATTGAGAAGGATTTTTTGGATGAAAACGACGAGTTAAAACCAATAGCTGTCTCGGCCCTATTTGTCTTTTCGGCAATGGTATTTTCAGCTTCTTTTGACTGGAGAAAGTTTTACCATAGGTATCTGCTGGAACCAGTCAAGAAAGTTGTCGCTGTACCCATCGGAAGTTCTGTTCTCTGGATTCCTGAATTATTTCTCAACAAATTTCCTGTCAGTGGTGTTTCAAGTGCTCGTTTATATGATGTCAAAACGCTCCAGCTTTGTGCGACAAATCGACAAAATTATATCCACAAAAAAAATTCTAACTTTCAACGTGAAGTTATCGACTCTACCGTTCAAGTTGGAACGTGGTCCATTCGTCTACAAGAAGTGTTTTATTCTAAAAATCTGAACCAACTGAAACTCGACGATCTCTCCAAACGATGTAACCTTCTTTTGTATGGACTCAAGCTTGCTCAAACTCTAAGTCAAAACTTTCGACTCACCATGAGTCTTCACGCTCATTTTGGAAAACCAGTGTCAAAACAGATCGTTTGTCTCCTGTGTCAAGTTTTAGAACTCCTTAAAGAAATTCAGGCCACATTCTTTCGGTTCTCGGTGCAAATTGAAAATTCTGCAATTTATATACTTCAGCATGTCTTAAACACAGCCCTCAACAATCTGAAAGGAGTCCAGAAATTGATGTGTTCTCCAGAATTTAAAAAGATGGATGAACTTCGAGCCGACTCTTTGTCCGTGATGAAGATATTGGAAAATTCCATGAAGGGGCCACCCTCAACAAAACGACTCCTAGTTGCAAAGGTAACACTGGATTGGACTCTAAGCAATGCTAAGTTCTGGAAGGGCGACGATGCAGCTTTAATCTTACCCGCAGCCATTGAAAGGATTTCTGTCCTGGTCAATCTAGGTCAACGTATTAATGAGCTATGCAATGGGTCCGAGTTATTCTGGCATCGGATTATTTTATCCACGTATTTCTCCGCCATTTACAAGAACGAGGTGGATGCGCAGAAATTACCATTGATATTCATGGTCATCCAAGACTGTTACAGATTTCTTGAAAATAGTCCACATCGAGAGCAAGCGAAAAAATCATTTGTCGCCGAAGTGAATGGTTATATCAAGAAAAATTTACAGGAAAAATTGTGCCAAGAGGTGGAAACTGATTTGAGATTAATGGCACACACGCATTTGCAAGTTCAGGCTCAAGAGACAATAACTTCTCCATTCCGGGTGGGGGTTCAGGAACATTATTATTTGCTCATGTGTCCAACCCTCTCATTTGAATCGGAACACTCTGTAAACTTTAGACTGATGGTAGGTAGATGTCAGTAATTTAAATAAATTGATCAAGTTTATTTTATTGAAAATTTTATACAGTTTAATAAGTTTTGCTTATTTTCATTTTTTGTTATTTAGACGGAATACTACTTGAGCAAAACATTTTATAACTTGGCGTCTGTTGCTCTTCATGACTGGCAGTCTTATGCTACAATGAGGGCACTGGCTTCTGAGAAATATCTTTTGGATGTGGGTGACGACCATTTACCAGGACACAGTTTAGAACAGGTAGGCGTGTAATGGACTAAGCAAAATTTTAGCAATTGATAATATGCGATGATTTTGGCTGATTTATACTTACTGTTCTTGTAGGGTCGTGATATTCTTGAAATTGTGCGAAATCTTCCCACATTTGTCCAAGAATTTACGTACAATTTGAACAATCAGGTTTTTATTCAAATCGGTTCTAAAAACAAACACTTGGACACAGTGAATATTCGTCACTTAGCAAATTCGATGAGAACCCATGGAACGGGAATGACAAATACAACTGTTAATGCAGCTTATCAGTTTTTGCGACCTAAAATGCATCTCTTCTCTCAGTGCCTTTTTGAAGAACAAATCCGGTCACGCTTATCTAAAGATATTCGTCTATTTAAACAAGCAAGGCAAGACCCATCGTTGTCGTCGTTTAGTTCAACTAAAACTCACTCTTCGTCACAGCCTCCAAATTTTCCTTTTAAAGTTGCTGAGAAATTTAAAAAGGGAATAAAAAAATTGGGAGTACAGGAAGGATTAACTTGGCTGGACAAGTTTAGAGTTCTAATTTCACATATTGGAAATGCTCTTGGGTAAATGAATTTATGAAATGTTTTTACGCGCATAGTTAATTTTATGGGTAAAAAATTAATAGTATAACTTCATATAAACTGGGTAGATATAAATTTAGTAAGGGTTGACTGGGTTGACTTTATTTTAAACTAAAATCATCAATTATGCATGATTACGATTCTTAGTGTGGCATGTAAAGTGAATACCTGTTTGATTTTAAAAATACGTTAAATGAAGCATTTCATTACAAAAGTGTCCTTTTCACAAGGATTTGTACCAAAATTTTTCCATACAGTGTTAACATTAACTTTACTACAACTTAATGTTGGTGTGTGTCATTCATATACGTACATACACAATTATAACCGTCACCATTCTCTACTTAACATGTTAACCGTAGTTGTCCAATAAAATTAATCTTAGGCTTGTTAATCGTATACTACAAATATACAAAATTCTATTATATCTACGTCATTAAATACCAAATCCTTAATTCCTAATAAGCGTTTCATCAACGGCCACCAAATTATATAATATATGTAATTTGCTTCTTAGTTCTGTCGTCGGCAAGATTATGATGATAATTGTTGTTTGTTAATTTTACAGGTTTGTACGACTAGTCCGATCTGGTGGACTGCATTATTTGGCAGGAGGGTGTCGTTTCATTCCTGATCTCGACGACATATCTGCATTCAGTATCTCATCGGGGGAGAAAGGAGTTACATCAGAAATATACAGTGCTACAGATGAAGAGACAGAACTGAAGGTGACCCAGCATCTTGAATTGGCTATTAAAGGTGTGGATTCCACTTTATCGAAATTCTTCGGGGGTGAAGATTATTTTGGGCTATTGGTGAAAGCTTTCCGAGCCGGCTGTATGCACGACAGGTAAAATTATTGATGCTTTCCATCGTAGTTGTTAATGTAATGGTCCAGAAAAGTTGAGTGTCTGTTGATACAAAGAATTGAATTACAATATATATTTATATATACATAAACATACGAACACAATGTAAGCATATTTATTTTTCAGGAATGCTCATTTGAAGAATTTCTATGTCTTAATTCCTGCATTAACACTTTCCTATGTGGATCATATGCGGCAGTGTAAAGAGATGCTGGCTAAGAAGGCTAAAACTGCAACCATCTTTACTGACGATGGGTTTCCAATGGGTAAATTATGAAAATTATTGACTCAAACCCCATCCTCCACATCAACTATAGCGTTATTTGTTACTTTCTAGGAGTCGCCTATTTATTACAAGTGTTGGGGCAGGACGACGATTTTGACTCCCTTGGTTGGTTTCACTCCGTTAAGCAGCATTACGAAGATGAGAAACAAAAAGAAATGCAAATTATAACCGAGTCAAAAAATGATGAAAAGTTGGAGCAAACCAGTAAACTAACAGCCAAACGCTTCCATGACCAATTACAGGAATTTGAACTTTTGAGATTTAACTTAAGCTCTGCCAGAATATTTTTTCAATATAATAATAATTCTAGCTCTAAAACGCAGTAATTTAGCAAAATGTAACGGGCGCTGTTCGTAAACTTCGTAACGCTGGCTAATAGTGGTAAGATAGGGTTTTTTCCCTATCCTGCATGTACTGGCCAGCGTTACGAAGTTTATGAACAGCGCCACAGTAACCGAAATAAATCATAATCAATCACTTGCTGTAATTTGCTACTGGATTAATTTGGAATGCATTTGTACTACTAATAATAAGCGATAATGAGAATAAATGCAACTTACAATGTTGAAGATGATGCTACAGCGCTATCAACACGAGATTCCAAGATGGTTTTAACTTAATTGTACCACAAGCCGCCAGCAGTATGTGAGGAAAATATGGATGATCATTAATTATGAGAGTGGGGAAGTGGTTGAAAAGGGTTAAAGTAAAAACTAGTCAAAATTTTCAAGTGGCATGTTAAAACCAGTCGCTATGTTGTTGTCGTTGTTGTCGGAGTCGGCGGCGGAGTAGGTACTACGCTAGCATTGGGCTGGCTGATTTTAATAGGGGTCCCTACTGCCTGTGGTGATGAACTGGAAGCTGCATCCGACACCACTGGAGTGATACTTGGCGGCACAGACATGGGAGACGTCGACAGTGTCGTCAAGGTCCCTCCTTGTATACGTATCTAAACAATAGAGGCGAAGGATATGGGTTTTAGCACAATGGAACGATACAATATACAACTAAAACAAGTATATTAGACAAGTCAGCATTATAATAGGTTGCTAAGTAATTACATACAAAGAATTAATATAAACGAACTCAATACCTGTGAGTCACTCTTAGATGAACCTAAAAGTTGAATGGTGGGGGACATATGCGTTGTTGTAGGCATCGCTGGCCGTGCAAGGTTACCAAGAAGTCCCTAAATTATACGATTAAAAACTAGTGATTCAAGTAATTCTAGCCCAAAGCAAGCATAAATTAATACGTACAGGTTGCTTAACTCCAATTGGCGACGATTGGTTCACAGAGATCAACCTGGCATGAGTAACCCCTTGTTGCGGAGTGGCATAGTTAGCTGATGGTACGGATATTATGGACGACGGGGTCGTGGAGGCAGAAATTATTTGCGTTGTTCCAGTGGAGGTGGTAACATTTTGCAATGTCATAGGCTTAGTCAGCACGTTGGCGTGAATTAACTGACCACCAGACGAAATCACTTGTCCAGGAGATGACACCTAGCCAGTAGTACATAGACATGTATAAATATATATTACAGGAGCATATTATATGTACTACATAATATTATGGAATTATTATTGTAGATAAGTGTAAAATATTATTAATTACACAATGTAACGCCAAAATATTCACAAACCTGTTTAAAAACTTGCTGAAATTGTGGTACAGAAACCCCAGACTGTAGTTGCTTTGGACTCGCTTGCACTGCAATTAGCTGGGTTGGTGCCTGCTGCAGAGTATAATTCTTATTAATTATTATTTAGAATTTTACTAACAATTGATTAGCCAAATAAGACAAATTTATGATATTATGGTTGTAATTATGTATTACCTGTCCTAACTGAGCTATTTTGCTCGCAGTATTGGCTTGCAGCATTTGTTGCTGCTGCTGTTGCTGTTGCTGCTTCTGGCGCTGGAGGAGGATTTGCTGTTGAAAGGGGCTGAGATGTTGAATCTGCTGCGCCACAGTTTGCTGTTGCTTTTGGGCATTCCCTCCCAACTTGTTGACTGTTTTAACCTGTGATAACTGCAATGGGAAAGCTAAGGCCCCACCGTGTTGCTGTCCTCCAGCTCCGGTTGTTTTTACAAAGGTTGCCATTTGCTGGCCTGTTGCATTCGACGGCTGTAGTTTCACCACATTCTGCGAGGAAAAAATGATTCTTCATGCTACTTAAACTTGTCTTGCAGGATAGGATAAGTATTTTAGCACTATTTAACTAATATATGTGTAGATTGATCAAAAGACGGTAAGTAATGCAGTTTTTCAAATCCAATGCTGTACCACACGCTGTACATACGCAAACATATATTATTTAGTTATGATGAAAACTTTCAACGATTCTTAACACGCAATACAAAAATAAGTTATATAAAATGATCCCCTTAAACGTTTGACTGAAAATTACTTGCAATTTTACAGTTACGGTCAAATGTTTGAGCGGAAACAATATATATTAATCATTGTCTTCATCATCATAACCAATTGGCAAAGCAGGCCCCACACGCTGGCTGACCCCGACCAAACCGACAAACTATCTCAAAAACATGACGCATGTAAAATGTAGGAGCTCGGAAGAGGTAGCACCCAAACTTTAAATAACGGCAGCAGAAAAACGAGGACAGAGTAAATTGTCAATAGAGACTGAAGTAACGGCAAGTAATTCAAATATTATGAAATACAGATGGTGAAATGGTGTAACAATGATCCATTTTTGGTCTACATATATTATTAAATCTACAATTTAAGGTGTTTGAGGTAAGGTGATGATAAATCAGAACGTTATATACTGCGGTACGTATACCCCTAAAACTTATGAATTCATGTCGAGGAAAAGATTGGAAGAGTATAGCGTTTGTTAACCAGTCACATACCTGGAGACCCATCGATGTCAATAAGGTGTGCGTCGTAGCCATAGGAAATGCTACTTGCGTTTTCTGTGGAGATTGCGTCATGGGTTGACCTCCAGATGAGACGGCAAATCGGGCCGGTTGACCAAGTCCATGCTGCTTGAGGAGCACTGCCATCTCCGCGTCCGACACCGTGCGAGTTACAGTTTTTCCTCCAATGGTTTGCTGCTTCAGTAACTGCTCACATATTTATTATACGCCTACTTTAACCAGTTATTCTTCTCAACATTTTAAAATTCATTTTGTAAATATGAGGTGAGCACAAGTAAACAGCAAAAGAGATCGAAAATAAATGGGTAATAATAGTCATTATGAAATCACATTTCTAATGCTTCCTACATTACAACAGTAAATTCAAGTGTAGTTTTCATATTTAGAATAAAAAAAGTAAGATAAATGAGTTCGAAAAAGAATTCCATTCACCAGGGTTCAGTAACATGCGAAAAAACTGACAACGTTTTCAAACAAGTTCAATAGACAAAAGAAAAGTAGGTAACACCGAAAAAACGCAATCGCTTATATGCACTATACACATATATAAGTAGATGCAGCCACCGGAATGCAAGTGAAGCAGTAGGAGCAGCAGTATTTAGCAAATAAGTGACTATTTAAATGAAATTATTTAGAATTCCGATACTATTCTACACAATCGCTACATGTAACAACAAAATTGCATTTGTAACTCACTTGAACTTGTCGAGGGCTGCCTTGATTCACAACCGTAGCTACTGTTCCCATTGGAGCGCTGGCCAATGTCATCATAGGGGCCTTAAAGTAGTGGTAAGTTATTATGTAGTAACAATATTAGGAGCATAGGATACTAATCCTAGAATTAAAACCAATTGAAAAAATTAAAAACTCACTTTTTGTGCCGCAGTCAGCGTCGATGCTGTTAATCCTGACGCCGCCGTTGCTTGAGTAAAGACAGGACTGGTTTGTACCAGCGTTACACCTTGTAACGCCAAACCTGACGCTGTTTGAGTGCCTGTTCCAGGTGACTGTGACCCTGAGGTGACGACTTGGATCCTCTTGAGCTGCTGCAAATGGGCTTGTTCCTTCATTTGCTGCGCTTGTTGTTGAGACGCTGTTGGAGCTGAAAATAAACCCAGTGTTACAATTATAAGGATAGAAGAAAAGCAGGATGCCAATGCAAACCAATACTAATAAAAACGTAGAAAAATCAACTTGATATAAAGAACTACCTTGTGCAGGAGATGCATTCAATATTGTTCCGCTGGTTGCCCTAGGAGGAGCTTGGGCAAATGTAGCTAGTCCTTGAGTCCCTTGAATCAACTTTGTGGTTAGTTGAGGCGATTGCACAGGTGTTAATGACATAAGAGTCCCTTGGTGGGTGACACCAGGCGATATAATGTCCTAATGAAATAATCAAACAAATTTTACTAGAATTAAATTTATAATCTTGCTTGGAGGATTAATGTAATAGCACCAATGTAATATGTCCTAGTTATTATACCATTTACAGGTATTAATATACAATACATAATACAAATACTTATGCATAAGTATTTATTGTTAGTTACGAGTTTTAATCTTTACCTGCAGTCCAACAGAAGTCATCCGTTGGAGGTGTTGCTGATTAATTGTCGCGATATTTTTCGACAGCGCTGATGCAGTCGCCGTCGAAATCCCTGTAGTCGCAATAGACATAGTTCCACTTGATGATACGGTAACCGTTGCTCCTACAGCAGCACCCAGCGCTTGCGCCAATCCAGGTGGAAGTACTACGGTTTGGGTTTGTTGAAGGGCCTGAGTAGTTCTTAAAATTTGACCCTGAACCTGTTGTGAAGCCATCACACCTTGTGCCACTTGAAGACTTGCCGTGGGCTGAGAAACTATGACTTGATGTGTCTGGACCGGACTGGACAACGCTTGCTGGATTTGAGATTGCTGTTGCTGCTGTTGTTGCTGTTGCTGTAATTTTTGCTGGAGTAAATACTGTTGTTGTTGTTGCGGCGTAAGAGTTGTTAGTTGACGTTTTTGTCCTGCTGCTAGTGTTGACCCAGTCACATTGGTTCTCGCAATAACTTCCCCTGTACTTGTCCCAAGAACCAGTGGTACGAGACCGGAAGCAGTGGATACAGAAGGGGGGAAAGTAGCTCTGGTTAGTTTAGAAGACTCGGTCATTGGTGTAACAGGAGTCGGCGATCCTATCGGACTAGCGGGTTGGCTGCTGCCAGCTAAAGCCATGCTAATAGTTGGTGACTGCGAGCTCACAGAATGAGCAGTCGTCCCCTGTGCTTGTGACCCTGTTTGGACTTGTTGCTGCTGCAATATCTTCTTTCTTTCTAGAGTCAGTCTTTCTATCCGAGACTGAGCAATTGATGTAGCCAACATGGGGGAGTCATAGTTAATACCATGTTCGGAAAATATCGCTGCCTGTTTATTGTTGCTAGTTTTAATCATGGGAGTCCCACTCACTACCTTTGCCACGGGGGCTTTTTTAATAGACGTGCTTTTGATGGTCTCAAATTTTTGAAGGAAAAAATTAGTGAGCTGGGAGTTATTATCTTGTGCAACCAATTGACTTGTTTTCAAATATCGGGCAGCCTTTGAAGGTGAGGGAGGAGTAATTTTAATGAAAGTTTTTGCTTTCTTGCTCTTTTTGGTGGGAGACGTTGGGGATAAACAGGGTGAATCATAAAGCAGCTTCCCTTCTTCTCGTGGACCAACAATATTTTCATATCTAAAATTTATGACAGTAAAGTATAAAACTCTCAATTCATACATGTAAATGATGACTACTGCACGAGTAACATAGTACTCGAGCTAGATCAACCAAATAAATAAGCGATTAAATAACAAGTCACTATATACCCACCTCCACTTGCAATGCTTCGCAGTTCGATACGTCCTGGAGGTCATGTTTACGATTTCTGCTGCCAACTCCCAATTTGGGGTCTGAGCCAGGTTTACCACAAGCAGTGACAATGGGAGTTCCAAAAGACTTTGAATAGTCTGAAATGGCGACATATGTAAAATCATTAGCATAATATTCTGACGCCAACAAGGCTATACTGCTGCTGCTCCTGGTACTACGTACAACATTATGCCAACCGCAAACTAAAAAACAAACCTGCAATAGTGCATAATCTTCTGCCACCATCCATTCTGCCATGTCTGCTGGAGGAGCTGGAGGAGGTTTAGCGCTTGGAGAAGGAATAATGGGAAAAGTGACAGAGCCAGGACCCAGAACATTTTTAACAGCGGCAGGAGCAGTTGGTCTGCAACTATACTTTTGAAGCCGATAATCTCTTCTGAGCTTAGCAAGGGCAGGGGATGGTCGATCAAAGAGGGATCGAGGGGCAAAAATTGGTTCATCCCGACGTGCCACTTTGGACGGGGACTTTTTGCTGAAGGACTCTTCCATCTCGCCAATATCCATTGGAAACTCGCCGGAGCGCTCATAGCTTGCCTTGCTGGAAAGGATACTAGCTGGGCTCTGCTTTTTCGGATGTTTAGGAGGCACGTGAATAGGTGGCAGCTGAAATTCGGGGATAACCTCTTGCTTGTACAAATAGCTAGCGACCTTCTCAATATATACGTCGCCTACATCCTCCGGAGGAGTTGGTGGACACCAAATCTGTGTGGTGCAGCAAGTAATTTTGGCACGAGTTAAAAATTTGGAATTGTCATTTGCCTATCTCCTCATCATGAGTATTTTGTAATTGGAATGACATAATAATCGTAAGTTCGTTGAAATGAACTAATGCAAATGAATGTACATGTAAATGATTGCAAAACATCTTACCGGCATAATGATCTCATTCTTGGAATTTTGAGCTATCCACACCTGCAACAATCGAAAAAGCACTATTAACGAAACGATTCAAAACAGGACTGCTGCTTTTTTGCTAAGTTACAAAGTCCATTACGAAGAGGTTTGGCAATAATTTATTAAGTACAGGACACAGTGCTCAGGATAGCTTTAACAATACTTAAAAAATCCTCACAGCTTTAAATTTGATGGTAAGTTATCTATAACTGATTTGAAAACTGCTAAATTGTATAGATCAAATTACAGTAGAACTTGCAAATTTTAAAAACTCTTCAAAAATTGTGATTCTAAATAAACTCCCCACCAGAAAAAAAAGTAGAAATAGCTTTAGAAAATTGATAAGTAAAATAAAATGATGTAGAAAATTGATTTGTTTAAAATTTGTAATATTTTTTGTATATTCTGAGCTCATAAAAAAATTATTGCCAACACTTCGGTATCTAATCGTTCGCGTTAAAGAAGTGTTTGCGCAATTGTTACTCTGCCGAAGAGATCATTATGCCGATTTCGAGTTTTCATCAGATGGATTTTCGATAACAAATCGTTGATTTAGTAGTCTTCAAATCACGAGATAACTTACAACCAACTTAAAGTGTGAGTTATCTGAGCACAGTAATTATAAAATAAGTAGTATAATATCGCTTATGCATAAATAAGTAGTTGTGGGATTTGGGTTGTGGGTTGGTCCAGGATTAGCTAATATTTATGGCTTCACAGCATAATCAAACAAAGTATATATAAATCCTTAACTTAAATTAAAGTACACTTGAAATTAAATAGCCTAGCGGTCTCTTTAAGTTGTCACTTAAGTCGTCATAAACATGTTAAAATCAAAGATGAGTCGAAAAAAGGAAACAAAAATACTTATAGCAGCTAAATAATAATGACCCAAGACAAACACTGAAGACAAGAAATGTATGGTATATGAACTAAAATAGTTATGCACTAAAAAATTGGGATTAATATTAAGTTGATTTGACTTGTCGAGGTTTAGGGCCCGGGCGCGAGTTGTTAGTAGCAGCAGCAGTTTTTGTGTCACGTTTTTGTAAAGCAACACAAGACTTTTTAATTGCTAGCTTTGCCACGGCTCTGCATCTACTATCCGGAACAACAACAACTGGGGGAGCTAACTTTCCAGAACGTCTTGTGACTACTTTGTTGGGGCTGGGAATAAAACGCTGCTTTCTACCAACTTCAGGAGTTGCGACGCGTACAGAAGAAGAAGAAGAAATAGAGATAACAGGTACGGGAGAAGGAAGACGCGTAGAAACAGGGCCGTTACTATTATTATCACTAACAGAATTGGAATTAGAAATTAGGCTGCGATTCTTTGGGGGCCTCCCTCGCCTTTTGGGTGTGCTAACTGTTATAACCGTTGCCTCTCCATTCATTTTACTTATAGGAACGACGCGTTTAACAGGAGGCTTGGACTTTGCAAGACTTTGTCTTGGAATAGTTTTTTTCTTTTCAACCTTATTCTTAGCGTCTATAGATAGGTAAGTAACCATATCTTCCTCCTCCTCTTCAGAGTCGTCCTCGTCATTTTCCTGCTCAGCCATTTCAAGTTCTTGCAAATGACGCTGTTGAGCATCTTCCCACTCTTGCTTCTGTTTCTCAATGTCTTTTTCAGCATTGGCGTAAGTCTCGCTCGCCCAATCTTCCATACAGTTCTCCATCCATCGGATAGCATACATCTCCACCGGGTTGAGCTGTAGATTATAAAATTAATGGTTATTAAAATGTATTTATTAGCCCGTCTTTTCTATTATTTGTTATTTAAATGAACCTGTACCTGTTCAAAAATCTCTTCAATCTCGGATTTAGGTGCCTCCGTCACAGTTGCTTGCTGTAAATTTATATGTAATATTATCAAATAAAGTACTTTTGGAGCTAAACCACGAAAGGATGAAACATATTTAATTTTAAATGAATATTTAAAAAATTGCGTAAATCTTACAGGATTAGAATCGAGTTCATCAAGAGAAATTGTTTCATCGAATTCTGCAAGTTCTGCCGCCGCTTCTGCTCGGACAGTTTGTGAAGCTTGAACATCGATGTCGTCCTCGGCTGTTAATAGAGCATTTTCCAAAATTTGTATCGCATTTTTATCTTCAGACGAATCGTCAGATGTAATCATATGAGTAGGTCCAGTAGGACGAATATCGTCTCCTTCCTCCAATTTCAATGTATCTTGATAACTCAAACTGCCAGATGCCAACTCAGCCAGTCTTTTTCGAGGATCATTCTCTTGATGGTCAACCGTAAATAAGTCGTGGATAGTATTCTGTAAATAATAATAGTCAATTGCAATACAAATACCAATTTTTTTTAACTATTTAATGTACACCAATTAATTTACCTTTGTAAAGAAAGCAGTGTTAAAACTGGCTCCTTCAATAGCAATTTCTCCCAACATTCTCTTTTGATTAGACTTTTTCAAGATATTTTCCTCTACTGTTTTCTCGCTTACAAGTCTGAAAATTTATGAAAATTCAAACATTTAATTCCAAATTTTTACTTAGTATGTTTAAATAATGCGAAATTGAGTACCTGTAAATGTGCACGTCTCGAGTTTGCCCGATTCTGTGACAACGATCTTGGGCCTGGGCATCCATTGTTGGATTCCAATCACTGTCGTAAAAAATGACCGTGTCTGCTCCAGTTAAATTAACTCCAACACCTCCTGAGCGAGTGGAAAGGATGAAACAGAAGATACGCTTGTCGGTGTTGAATCGCTCCATTAAAAGCTGTCTCTGGTCGATACGTGTGGCTCCATCCAGTCGAAGGTAGATGTGTCCATGATAATTGAGGAAGGCTTCGAGCACATCCAGCATCCTAGCCATCTGGGTAAAAATAAGTACTCTGTGGCTGCCAAGTTTGAGCTGTCGTAATAACCTGTGCAATGCAATACAATAAAGTCGTTACTTGATCCATCAAAATTCGTTCACAATAGGTGGAATTATATATATCTTACCGATCCAAAGTCTGAAGTTTCCCACAGTCGTATTGAATAAGTCTGGGATCGGGAAATTGGGTCGACATACATGATACAATTGGATGTATCAGCTCACAAGGTTTTTGTAGTACATCTTTCATTTCCCTCTCCATGAATAGCTCTTTAAAGTAGCGTGAAGGTGCTGGTCTGAATACTTTACTTTGGGTTAATGGAGCCGTTACAGATGGTATGTATATCACATATCGACTAAGAATTGGTTTCATTATTTCGAGGCGTTCTTCTAAAGTGGGAATCATGTCGCATAACGTTTTCGTATTCTCCCCGAGTAAATATGGATGATTAGGTATAGGAGGAAGTTCATTTCGAAGTTTGGCTCGAACCACGCGTTCCACTTCGCCGTATCCCAATTCAAATCCTCTATGTTTTGGGGATTCTTGCAATTTAAAAGCACATCTCTGTCGACGATCTTGAAGACGAGATGGGAATATCTCAAGATGTTCAAGTGTGGACTGTCCATAAACTGGATTGATTTCACATCGGAAGCGGTTGATCCTTTCTAGTTTAGAAACAACTACTCTTCTGTTGATGATACTTCGTTCTTGGATTTCAGGCTACAATTTCAAACAAAAATACAAATACAAATACAAAATATAAACGAATAAAAACATATGAAATAAATTTACACAAGTAATTGTTCAATCCGTTTGATCTCGTTAGCAAATTGAAACTGCTAGCAAGTCAGTATGAATATAAATTTAATATCCTCCCCATATGATGAGCCTTTTGTAATTAGCTTGCAAAGACCTTAATTGAGATCGTATAGGGAAATAATATGTGCATAAAAATGATTAAAAAAACAACTCACCAATTGAAATTCTGTGGGGTTGATACCCATAGCTAATATTCCATCAGTTCCATTCTTTTTTATTGTTAGAGCGAGTTTCATTTTCTTCTTGGGTATCACAATCTCACCGTCACTGTCTTCTGACACCTCTTCGTCCATTGATGACTCGTCCATTTCATCATCCTCCTCGCTGTTTTTCTCAGGGTCAGCAATAATCGACGAGTCTGGAGTTGGTAGTTCAACGGCATCAGTAATGTGGTTTAATTCAGTTGTTATGATTTTACCACCGTTGTCGATCTTAGGCTTTACAAACTCCAGTTCGCCGTTGAACTGAAAAGAACAAATTTAAATAATAAAATACATAATTAAAAACAGTTCTACTTAAAAATGTAAATGCATAAGGTCACGAATAAAATTTACAAGTTATTTACCAATGGAGCGTTGAGCACCGTGCCTATCTTGGTCTTGTGAGATCTCTGTCCAACATAATCTACAAACTCTGAGTCATCCAGGAGCCCATTCGTAGCTGGGTCAATGACAGACAGGAAGAATGGGATGGGAGAATTAAGTCGAGGCATTGGAGGAGGAAATGGGGTATCCAAAGCGTCAATGAAGGACAATTTTGGCCGTTTTCGTGGTGGTCCAATATCGAAATTGTTAAAGATTTGTATCTTGGACATGTTCTTAAGTGTGCAAACATTTGCGTAACCATTATCCAAACCAGTTGCCCTATCGCGAGATCTGCTATTCGTAGATAAAGTTACTTGTGAATCTGCATGTGGAGCAAGGTTTTGAATCCTCCAAGCTTCCTCTTTTGAAAAGTACAAATCCGCTTCAGTCATATGAAAGACAGGGTAGCTCGGTTTCTACAGTAAAAACAGAACAAATAGTATGCACAATATACTACATACCAACAACTAAAGTGAGTTCATTAGGTCTATGATAAATCTCTTACAGATTCGAGAAGCTCGTCCAATATATTCCAAACCATTGAAGGAATATAATAAACAACACCATCACTTTGCATCGGTGAAATCACAGGTCGGGGCTCAAAAAGATTAGGATGATTACACACTTTTCGAAGTTGCATCAATATGTTTATCACACTGAGAAGGTTGCCAGAATTTAAAGTATCTTTAGTTCTGTAATAAAAATAAATCAATAAAATCAAATAATAATATGCTGCAATAAGCAAGTATGGAAAATTAATTGCTAACACATCAGCAAATATATCTTACCTAGTTCGCGACATGAATTCTTCATAAAGGTATCGTTGACGTTTTGATAATCGACACATCACTAAATGCTCATACTTTTTGGGTAATTGTTTCTCAACTTCACTTTTCAATCTCCGAAGAATAAAGGGGCGCAAAACCTATAAATTCGACAAGGTAACAATTAAGTTTAAATGATAAAAACATTTAAACCGAGTATAATTTTTTTAAACCCACCTTGTGCAACCGACGAATTATATTGTCGTTATACTCTGCACTCCCCTCCACCATTCCAGAAACTGGGTTTGAAAACCAGTCACGAAACTCTCGATGAGATTGGAAGACATTTGGCATTAGAAAATGCATTAGAGACCACAGCTCCATTAAATTATTTTGCAAAGGTGTCCCAGTTAACAGCAGCCGCCTACAGTAAGTAATATGTATTGAATAAATATACTTGTTTACATACAACAAATTTACTAGCTATTTCTTAATTGCTTAACAAAAAACTGTACCTTTGTGCATTAAAGTTCAAGAGTAACTGCCACCGTTGAGATTTGAAATTTTTTATATTTTGAGCTTCGTCTAAAATCAGATACTTCCACCTTTTTCTGCGAAAACTTTGATGATCTTGAATGACGAGCTTGTAAGAGGTAATACAAACATGAAAACTATTTTGTTTCGTCCACCCAGTTCGTTTCAACTTTCTTTCCTTCTGAGAGCCGTAGTATGTGAGTATTTTAAAACCTGGACACCACTTCTTAAACTCCATCTCCCAATTGAGCATAACTGAGGTAGGAACGACAATTAGATGAGGCCCCCAGTTCCCCTTTTCACAAGCAAGGTGAGCAAGAAGAGCAATGGTTTGTATAGTTTTTCCTAATCCCATCTCATCCGCAAGAATTCCATTGAGCTTCTTATCGCACATAGTCACCAACCAGTCCAAGCCGATATGTTGATACTCCCGCAAAGTATGTTTGATCAAGAATGGGATCTTGGTGACGACGGTTGTGGAAGACAAAGTATAACCTTTCGGTTGAAATGATTCAGCAAGTGCTGCTACGCTATTCAGGGCGTCTTCATCATCAACGTCTGCAGCTCGTTCTGGGGCAAACGTTTGCAACAGTGATGCTAGACCACTGTCGTTTTCATCCTCTTGGACCATATCAGCAGTGTCAGGAGTGTCGGAAGGAGTCTCCTCCTCAGAAACTGTCATGTCTTCAGTAGTTGAATCATCAGCATCTTCTTCTTCCTCCTCCTCATCTTCGGGAGTTTCGGATTCAGATTCGATTCCTGTTGAAGTGTCGGACACTATTGACCCCATTGATGCAGATTCGTCTGGGTCAACTGTAAATTAAGCAAGATTCAGTTAATAATTCAAGCATTTAATATGTAATTATAAAGTTCCTTTGATTTATTTCTTACCGTTTTTATATTGATATTTCGCTTTGATTTCTTCTAAGCTCAGTTCAGCATCTGCATTCAATTCGTCAATTTCTTTCTGGTGATCTCCTCCCTCACGTTCTTCGATAGCCTCCTCTCTATCAATAGTGTCCTCTTCATCCGACTCTGAATCACTTGGTAGAGTGAATTCATCATCTTCAGTAGCAGATTGATCTACCACAGCATTTGCCGATCGTGACGAAGTAGAAGGTCCAGGTTTTTTGGTGTCAGTCTCAATTTCTAGATAAAAGATGCAAGAGAGTGAGCATTTGTAATAATTAGAAATATTGATTACTTGTTATTGTTGTCGATCATATTAATAATATAAGGTCTTACCTCGCATTCTAGATTCGAGATATCCCTTGGGAAGTACATCCAAGAAATCGTCCATCTCCATCAAGGACTCCATTTCTAACAATTTAACCTCTTTATTAATTTCTGAAGACTTGGCTTCGGACTCTGCCTTGGCAATTGTTTCCTCGTCGTCCTCAGACCCACTCCTTGGCTGAAATTCATCTAAGGTTACAAGCACGTTAGTATATTAGAATTAAATAGAAAAATTCAGCAACATAAAACAATTGAAAAGAGAAGTTTTTGGTTACCATCCGAATTGGGGGATGAATTTGGAAGAGATTCTACGTCGGCATTATTACTCAAGTCGACGTCTCGTTCTCGTTTGAGAACAGACTGAAATTTTTCAGCCAACAAGCCTGAGTACTTTTCAGTCTGATCAACAATAAAGCTTAATTGCTGATCAAGGGCTTTCTTCTTCAGATCCTCAATTTTGCTTTGCTCCTGAAGTTCAATAACTTTCTTGACATTGCCCCAAAATTTCTGGATTTCTCGAGCAATGAAGGAACACATTCTTCGTTTGCGAATCTCGTCTTCTTTCAATGCTCTTTCAGCAGCCAGCTGCTTTTGTTTGAAATGACGTCTAATAGCTTTAGAAATCTAAGGAAGTAATGCAGAATAATTAGATGTTTGATTCCGAAATTGGACCATCTTACTGTGTATATAATTGGAACTGTACTTTTTTCGCTGCGATTTGTTTCCACTTTCTTTCCTGTTGAAAATCGATTTGCATCCAGAGGGCCTCCTCAATGAGGTAATCTCGGTGCAACTTCACACGTTCTGGTTCTTTCAACTTTGGTAGTCTCTTATCATACCACATCCCTTCTTTTTGTAGCTCCTGAATCCTCTGAATGATGGATGCTTCAGCTTTCATCTTCTCGGAATACTTTTTAGGTCTGGGAAACACAACTCAAATGTATTAAGCAATACACTAAATGGCATTTAAAATAATCAAAAAGTCACTTACGGTTTAGCTGAGATTTTCTTTTTCTTCTGTTCAATATCAGATAACATCTTCAAAGTTTGGTCGAATGAGGCTGCTTTCTGATTGAATTCCTGATTCATCTCCAATTTTAAACTATCGACCGGTAGGAATCGCCTGTCACTCAATGGATTCATAGGCATCCTGGACGGTACAAGGCGAACAGCTGACGCTAGAAAATAAGAAATTATTAATGATCGTTATTAAATATCAGTACTTAAAAATATTTCAAATTTCATATCGACTACTTACATGATGTAATAGTTATTCCATCTGCAACCAGACATGGTTCAGGTACATGAGTTATGCGTGACAGATCATCATCGAAAAACAACAATTTCCTTAAAGTGTCCTCGTTCTGAAAAATACAAAGAATTCAAATGAAATAATTAAATAAATAAATTCACCCCCATCCAAAAAAATTAAAGATACTATACTCCAATTGTAAGCGTAATACTAACCAATTTCATCGTTAGGCAGGAAACTTATTATAATATATCAGTATAAAATTAAATGTATTAGTGTTTATTATCTACAGTTTAATGTCAGACTATGCAAGTACATAAATGCTATTTATTCTTGTCTTCATTCTCTTGTCGCTTGTTTGTATTGAGATCAGATCAGAATAGATTTAATGTCAAACTAGAGTCCTTGACTTCATGACTACGATAAGTTACTTGAATGACTTTTTAGAAATGGAAAACGTGAGTTTCACGTGGGGATAGAAAGTGGAAGTAGAAATGAAGCGAAGGTGGTGGTGGCATTTTCGCTGGCCCTGCTTCTGTCGCCTGGACGAAGATGAGACGACAGACTGATGAGAGTGAGAGTCGTGCGAGGAGATGATGGAGAAGGAAATACCAAACACCGCCTCCAAGACTCACCACCACCACATCCCATCCAACATCCATTTCGTGAACTGGCCGTGGTTTCTCATTGCTCAGCCATATCCCGCTCTCTCGCACTGTGCACTTTTTCAGTAAAATTTTGGTCAAATTCTCATCCTCAATGTAAACTTCTCATCCTTCACCAGGAAGGGAAAGTGAGATAGCTCAAAAATTCCGGCAAGCAATCTAGATTGCGATACAAAAAAAAATCCAGCTGCTCATATTTACGCCCGGCCGAGAAATTACAGATCAACCTTTTTCTTTTTTTCTTATATGCGGCATAAAATATAATTTGGAAAAATTATCGTAACATTTTTAAATTGCTTTGTTTGTACATTTCCAATGGAGTTTTCATTTATGTAATATTAATTTTTCTACCTCATCAAATTTTTTGGAAATGATTTTTTGTCGCACCTAGTAAAAAGTGCAAAACTTTGACCTTTAAGATACCAGACTATTAATTATCTCCTACACACAGTAGTGGGTTTTCGAAACCGATTGTCAATGGCAATTTTTTAGGCTAAAATACGACTTGAAGGAAGTTTAATCATTTTTTTAAATTATGCTGAAGATGAGAAAAACGATTAATTTAAAGGGATGCAGTTTGGTTCTATCAAAAACGTTAGCTCAGTAACCGTTCATTACACAACGATCGTCCTGGTCTTAAAACGTAGTCTACAAAATTTCGAATATGCCAATGAAAAATAGAAATTATTCCTACTGAATTTTTGATTCTAAACGATGTGATTTTTTCTTTTGATTCTATGCTAAATAAGTCTTATTTCTGATCAAAACCCATACTGCAGACGTAACTCGATACACAAATTAGCAGGTTACTGACGAGCTAACGTTTTATTGAATAAGATCAAACGGCGTTCCTTTGCATAAGCGATACAATTTTCCTCATCTTCAGCTTAATTTTTTTACTTGATTAAATTTGCTTTAAGTTGTATATCAGTCCAAAAAATTGCCATTGACCAACCTAAAACCATAGTGTTCGAAAACCCACTAGTATCTAGGGGTAATTAATACTCTGGTACCTAATTTCTCGGCCGGTCACAAGTATGTGAAACTGGACTTTTTTGTGTCGTATCGTAATGCAGACTGCTTGCTTGATTTTCGGGTTAACTAGTCAGGAATCGCCGGGTGAGGTTTACATTAGGATTGACAAAAATTTTACAGGATAATTCGACAGTGTTTCGAGTAGAAAAGTGGAAAATATTTTCTACTTTCAGTATTTACTGAAATTTTGCATGCTAAATATGGGAAAATCGATGCATAATATGAGATCACTTTTGCAGAATACCGGTCAGGGTCTCAAAAATGGTAACCATCTCTGACTTTCGAAATTAAGTAAGAGTCTGTACTGCAGGTTTATATCATGCATTATGATTATGAGCTGATACCTAATGTAGAGATGTCGAGTGTGATTAATGACAATTTTTAAGAATAAAATCATAACCATTAGACACTCTAGTAGGAAACCCCGCAATAAAATAACTCCAGCTGAACAAACAAACGGTGGCGACGGTGGCCTTACCAAGAGGGGAGTAGTGTGGTCATGCTCTTTCAGAAATGTTCTAAACGGACGGAAAGAAAGTGAATTCATCGCTTCGACACAAGTTCTCACTGAATTGCTATGTTCGGAAGTTGGAGGAAACACCGAGGACACACCATCACTACCACCACTGCCTATCCTCGCATGGTCATCGGATAACAGAGCGGTGTAAGTATACTGAGTCAACAACTCTTTCGCCAGGTCACAAAGTAGACTATTCAATTCTTTCTTTCTTCTCCCGAGTATCCGCTTTTTTATCACTTTGTTCCCCCTGACGAAGGGAATTTTATTATAACTACCACTCTTCTGTTCCATGGTGTGAACACCACGATTTGGTCTGAGTAGTGATGTCACAGGGTCAGTCGACGACTCTGACTCCATTCTGGTGCGAAGCTCGTCCACCTCTGAGTTTTGAAATATGGGATCCCCTGGCAGAAACATTTCTTCACGTAAATGCTGCATCGAGGGGAAGGGTGTGTGGAACTGTGGCGTCGTCGTCGCCATTTGACCGTCGCCGTCCGCCCCATTCTGCAGCGGCCCGTTGGCGCCAGGTGCAGCTGAGGATGTAACTGACGACGACGACGACGACGGCGTTGTTATTGTTCCCATCACGGGGACGGGAGTTGACGACATGTCTCATTGGGGCTGGAGGACAGGGAGGAGTGTGGTGACCGTGGGACAGACAATGTTAACTGAGAGTCAACACCAGAACTCCTCTTTTTAAGCCTTTGAGGAGTTATCACTTGATAGTTTTTTACAGTTTTATTACAATTTTCCCATGTCTCTCTCTCTCTTTCTCTCTCCTGCCTGGGCTGGAGAACTGTGTGTGGAGGATTTGTGCTTGGGGAGCAACCACAGCCTGTCTCGTCACGTGACTCGTCCTCAGCGCTAACTTCGACCACTCCAGCCAACAGTGTCTGCACACACCACCTGCTTTCTCTCACCTCAGCCTAATGCAAATCAACAATCACAATAAACATTAAATCCATGCACTATTTAATTACCAGATAAACAACACAAAAAGTAGTAAAATATTTTAAACGAGGTTCAACATTTCAAGTCGTATTAGAACGTTTTCTACTTGTTGTTGTTGGATTTGTTACTTCCAGGTTTCTTTTAATGAGCTAAAATAAATTATGGACCCCACAATTAGAAAATTATTAACTGCTGGTCAAGCTGAAATTATAAGGTCGTCACAGAAAGATTCAGAGTTTATTAAACATTTAAATTCTGACTTGCAAGAAGTTATTCATTCCATTTTTGGTGAGTTGTTCATTCACCGATATTTGTGAATTTAGTTTTGAAAATTAATTTGATTACTTTGTATTTTGTTGTAAAGGTCAAAGGGTTAGTCAATCATGGAACAATGTGTGTTTAAGATTGTCAACGTTAGCCTATCATTCCCTTACAAATTTATGTGGTTTACAAACTCTTGGAGAGGAATATTGTGGAATTCTTCAAGTGGACGAGCTCGGGAGTCAAATACCTGGGAAAATTGTAAGAATTTATTGTCTCTTTGGACTAGTTATATATTTGCATGTTGACGTATGTTGAACATAATGTGTAGTAGTGACGTTGTTCTGTTGTTTCAGAGAGTCGGGAGTATGATTTTCTTTGAAACATTTGGGTACTCAACTGTAAAATTCGTCTCAAACTTGTTGGAGAAATATCTATCAAAATCCTCGACGTCTAGTAATAGTGTAGCTGGTCACATGCAAATCGATATCCAGCCTAAAAATAAAGATTGGTCCTCTTTCTTGGAAACCGGAAATGAACTTCTTCAAGTTTTTAAGCACTATTTGCCGTTCTTTATACAACTACATCTTGCACTTTTCTACTTTCAAGGAACATTCTACCATTTTTCAAAAAGAGTGTTGGGCATCCATTATGTAAGTCAAACTAAATGCCACCCATAAATTTCAGGTTTATTTTATTGGTCAGCTAGAAGTTAACTGAATTTACGTCTGTAATACTTTCAGCTCCTTGTAAGAAAATCATTTGCCAACCAAGATGATAGTAGTAGGCGCACCCTCAAATACCTAATGGTTATTAGTCTAGTTAACTCCTTCCTAACTTGTATAAATGATTCCATCTCGTTTTTTAAAAGTAAAAAAACTAAACTAGAAGCAGAGTCATCATTAAACAACGTTAGACAAGTTGTAAGTTCAATGCTTTAAATGTTGATTCACTTTTTGTCCTAGAATCATTGCAATGTATTTCTATTTGTCGTGTGTACTTACAGAAGCCATCATCTGAATCCGAGACTGAAATCGACATATCTAAACGTTGCACTTTATGCCTTGAAAAGCGGACCTATTCTAGTGTGACTCCTTGTGGTCACCTATTCTGCTGGGAATGCATCATTGATTGGACACGAAGTAAACAAGAGTGTCCTATCTGTCGGGACCCATTGCCTACTAATCGTATTGTTCCTCTGCAAAATTACATCTAGTTACACTACACCACATCATTGTTCTAGTCCAATATGCCAAAAACCTTCAACGAGATCAAATATATGTATATTTTTAATACACACTCTAGTAAAGAAATTGTTAATTGGTGTTAATCCATTTTTTCAATTGCATAGCAAATGACTATTTTCGTATACGAGATTGGCAATTTAGTATTTCTATTTCCAAATTGCAGATTCGTTTTACCCACACGAAGAATAGCCATTCGAAGAGGGAGCTAATCAGATAACATGATCATCTTGTCGCTAGACGCTAACCAACCAATATCTCCTTGCTTCTTCTACGACTTGGATTAACTTCCAAATTCCAGTTGCTTATGCACACTGTACATAGAACGGCATAGAGACTATGTAAAAGTGTCATCAAATTCGGGTGATCTCAACGCATCTCAATGTCGTGATCGTGAGTGAATGCATGCATTGATTGGCATATTGTGTTATTCATCGTCATGAAATATAATCTACTCTGCTATGCATATATTCCCATCGGGATCCGTGCGACATCACAACTCCACTCTGCATCTCTGTAAAGTAGGACAATCAATGTCATCTCAATTCCCAGAAGAGCAAAGTGAAAGTAAACAAGTTTTCCAATCTTTTCCAAATTCTCTTTTGGTATGGGATGAATAAGCCACGGACCGAAATTTAAATTTTGTAGTTTCTTTTTAATTGTGTTAGTCGACGACGCTGATATGTGACTCGAATTGCATTATTATAACCAAATCCATTCCACCAATAATTCAATCATTTATGTCTCTCTCTCTATACAATCAAGCCTATTATTCTTTCTTAAGACTGTTTCATAAGAACAAGCAGTCAAGGTCTGACCCAATCTCCAAGGAAGGACGAAATAAGTACATGTTGCAATTTCCAATCGATTCATACACCAAAAGAGATTGCATATGTACGATTGACAGTCGAACTGAACCTGTTGGTTACATGGCATGCAAGCCGTGGCATCACGTGATGTGGATACAGATGCAAATTTCCAACGAATATGAGTTGATGGAGAAAGTCGGGTGGTTGTCTAACAACGAAACCGGGTGCTTCAGGTTCGTGCCGTTGCCGCCGGGATGGTGAAAGCATACGAGGACTGTGGAACAAGGGCTGTGCGAAAATCGGGTCATTCAACTTATGTACGCTATACTATGACACGGGCCAAACTAATTGCCAATGAGTGTTTACTTAATATGAGATTGTCGGCATTTAACATTAATACAAATTAGTTGTTAGGTCTTGTTCTCGAACGTCCGTGGCGAATGAACCCAGTCCCGAACTCTGGAATGCATAATGCCCGGATGACGAGGATAAGTCACGCACGTCCCGTGCCACCACCACCATCACCACCTCATGCTCTACTCTGACGTGGTTTTCACCGTGTGCGAAATTTTGATAAAATTATTACACTTTCTTTCTTTGCAAACTAGTAAAAAAATTTATCCTGTGCATAAATTTTCTTTCACCCGTGATTCTTTATTCACGGAGAAACCGTATTCATTAGGCATCAAATCGACCTACATACTTAATCTCCTACATGTCTGTCAGTCTGTTATTTAGCTTATAAAAAATATTAAGAGATTTGTAAAGCTGTGTGACTACTTAATTGTGGTCATATTTTGAAATTGAATTTAACATGGGAGGTTGTCTAGGAAGGACGGGATCGATTAACCACATGCCAATTAAGTGACGCATTGTCACAAAAAATTAGTTTTATTAAGTCCCTTTGATGTAACTTCATCCAACCATTTACACAAAATTCTATGCAATCTAAAACCGCCTCAAATAATAATTATTCCACGACCTCTTCTTTACTGCCTATCTCCCGTCGGATTGGTGCGAAATCAATCAAGACGGGGAAACCAACTATGCAACAGAAAAATGTAAGTTATTGTGTTTTGCTCAAATTCTGCACATTTGATTTTTATTCCCATTCATATATTCACACTAACCAATTCCTAGCATGCTACGAAAATACCATTAACTTTAAACATCGTAACTCCAATGCCAAATATCTGTATCAGGTTTTGAGAATGTTAACATTGATATACAATACATACGAGTGGTCGGTTATTGGTCTTATCCACGAGATTTAGTACATTACGTAGTTCATTGGTAACCTTCAGTTTGTACTTTCATTAACAGATTCTTAATTGTTTTGTCAAAGTTTAATAAATAGAACCAGGACAGAACATGTATAAGGAATCTCTGCGAGGCACAATGAGAATTCCTCATATTGAGGCTGCACTGCTACGAAATTGTGTTCAGGCCATTTAATAATGAATCATGGACGTAAAATTCAGAATTTCATAGTACTCACACAAGTCTCCTCCTTATCATTGCCATGCTAGAAGACAAAAGTTGAACAACTGCATGAACTTAACATCACAATGAAATAGAAATATATTTATGCCAGATACTCCATAAGTATGTACATACATATGTATACATATATATCCTAGACGCACTACAAATGGTGCATATTGTCCCCGATTTATATAATTAAAGTCTCACCACGATTTTAAACCGTGGAGTGTAGTATCTAGTGCATACCGTCTTATTTTCATAGCGTGCAAAGTTCACTGTACTAAACTTATTACCAGCGAAAAGACGACAGGTTAGATTTTCCCAGCCTATCAAGACATGTCTGCTCCTCGCTTTCGTACCTTACCCACTGTTAAATAACTAACGCAAATTCGCCCTAATGTGCAACCCGGTTTGAGTTTTTGAGGAGCAGAAAATTCGGTCTTTGTGGCGTGCATGCACAAGTTTTAGTTGTCACTCGGCTTCTGTCCAGTTAACACTCACTTGAGGATTAAATCTCTCCCTGCATCGTCCCACCCACAATTTCAGCGTCTACTCACACACACACACTTTCAATCGTTTCTATCAAACCACCCCAATGTGTAGATTGATCCAATTTTGTCAACTCCTTAGTAAACCGAATATCTATATTTGACGTTAGGGAAAGTCCAGTAGGCTTTAAGGGATTTTTTAACAGTTTTTTTTTTACTTAATACCATTTTCTACGCTTACTCACCTTTGGTTAATTCCGGTCATTATCAATTGCAACACCTTGTACGAAATCAGACATAATTTTAATTCAACCCCCAGCACACTAGTTTACTCACATTTTACTACATATCTACATGTACGTGTGGTATCTCGAATTCTTAATATATGTATTTTTTAATTTGTAGTAATTTGAGAATTTCATTTAAAGAACCTCTTCTCCAATTTGTCTTTTAGTCACAGCAGAAAAATGCCACACAGAAACGGACCCGTACTTCTTGGAGAGCAGAAGGAAAACGTGTCGACCTCCACTGAAAACTTGAAGGGCGAGCAGATTGGGATGGGGGAAGAGGGCTTTAAGAATTCGAGTCAAGGGCTCAAAAACGGACATTCCAACAACAAGGGACCGGAAATTGAAAATCACTACAAGAATGGCATCTCTGAGGAAGAATCCGGCTGTCTCAAGGAACATAATAATGGGAATTTGACGAACTGGGACAAGACGTCGTCATCATTCCCTTGTGATGATCCGGCCATCATTGCAAAACTCAGCGATTTTGCATTGTATACAAATGGACTCACGGACAACAACTTTGATGAGTCTGAAGTTAGCCGACCCAAGAAGATTTATCGGGTCGTACTCACCGGGGGTAAGCGTTACATTTGTACATACAAGGTTTTTTTGTCTTTTAATGCTGCATCATCATCGATCTCTAAAAAAATAGGGTTTGACATATTTTCGCATTCCCCTTCCATTCATCAGAATTTCTACATATCTGACTATATGTGCATATTTCGACGATTACATAAATTTGATTGGTCTATAATATCAGTTAACTACCAAATATACGACATCCTAAAAATTAGCATGGCCGTACTTAAAAGAAAATTGCATTAGTTAACACTAATGGATGACAGGAACAATGAGACAGGAACGATACACGAGGCTTGTTAGAAATTGATTATGCAGTGTCAGCCTTTACTCGGAACCACGAACTACTAATGCTCGTTTACATGCGAGCACTTTCCCTTAATCAAAACGAAATGTAAGTAATTCAACTCAAAAAGTGAGTTCAAATCAAGCCGTGCTCCTTAGTCATCCTCTGCAGTGTGACTCAGGCAGGAGTGGAGGGAAAGTGGAGAGAAAGCGTCAACAAAGACGTCCCTCAATTAAATTCACAAAATTTAATTACTTGAATTTCTCTCTCAGCCAGTTATTTAGTAGCACTGTTAATGCTGGGAAGAAGCATTGTTGAGATTGCTTCAGTACTACCTTTGGCATTTGCAGAGGAAAGAGGAATGGGAGACAGATGAGGCAATTTGAGAAATTTCCCATTTCCTCCTTAAACTTGTCAGGAAAGGACAACTTTCTCTCTGGAAGAATTGGGTTTCTGGTATTGTATGGGAAATTAACATGAAATTGATTTATTTCTCCGTTCCGAAATAGCTGCACATGCCGGCAATCCATTTCACAATAGTCGAACAAGCTTTATTGAGAAACATGTTTCCCTTTCTCGTAGTTCATTTTTACTTATGCATCAAGCATCACGAGAAGAGTTTCCTTTCGAGGGAAATATGACAAGTGACACGGGAGTGTCTAGCAGGATTTGGAGAGATTTAGAAGGAAAGGGAGAGGTTTATATTCGTCTCAAAGATCAAAGAATATCGTGTTGAGTGCTTATTGATTCGCGCATCAGGATAAGCAATAAGCAGGAAGGAACAATTTCGCCAAATTGATGACAAGTATGACGATAATGCTTTTCGGCTAATCTAGCAAATTACCATTTCTGCCTGCTTGCTTTGTCGCTATTGCACGTACTGCTTCCTTCCGCAGTTGCATATTTTTGTGGCTCCTCATACATACAACGAATGCATAATGAATAGGAGCGTGTGACTCAGTTTATTATTGGCAACAGTTTACAGAAAAAAACACAGGAAAGATAGGATAAATCGACTGCATGTGTGACCATGAAGTACATAGATCTGACTTTGACCTAGCTTTTTCATTTCCAAATCAATTTCAAGTCAAGAAATTCAAAAGTGTGGGGCTTACTCATGTACAAAAATATAGCATGGCACATGGTGATTTTGGATTACTGGGTTCTAGAAATCGCTTCAAAAATCCTTTATCATCACGTACAGTGTACAGTTCTAACGCCAAATTATTGTAACGTTTTTGTCGTTCATTTTCTTTGTTGTGTTCTTTGATGATGTGTTTTACTGGGTTATTGCGGAACACGAGGCACACAGGCTGCGCATCTCTAAGCTGTCTATATTGACACAGTAGTCATGCATCAGCGAGTGAATCATTTTTACAAACTTGTTATCTCTTCAAGTCCTTATCATATTTGCCCTTATGTAGTTTATTCCAGTGGTAGTTAGTTGTGCCCTTGAGATAACAAACGATGAGGTCAACACACTTCGATGTTCAGTGTTTATCTAGAAATTCTACTTTCTAAGAGTCGATCAATTGAGACAGGATTAATATTGACCTTATTTCATCAGCACTTTTACATCGTTTCTATTGAATCTGACGACTTTCCAATCTTTTGTAAAATACTTTTAATCCTTTGTTTGTTCAGGTTGGGTTGGTTTACTGACTTTCGAGATACGTGAAAATAAATGCTGTAATTTAGTTTGGATCAAGTATTTTTTGTACTTCTCATTCGTCGTCCTTTCCAGTATTTCTTCCGTTTAAGTAAAGTTTTACTACAACATTTCTAAAGAAAATTAAATTCGCTTTAAAAATCCCAGTTTACGATTCCCACTAAACATGACCTTAAGTTGAATGGAATTCTTCCAGCAACCCTTTCCTAAATAGCAATTTCGTTGGATTCTTCTCTATGAACCTAGAAGTGAGTACTTGGAAATTAACTTCTGGCTATCCAATCCATTCAAATTAAGCAAATGACTTCTTCTCTAAACATATTGTGTCGTCAAACGGGACGGATGTTGATGACGATAACGTCAAATAATTCTCCATGTGCCAAAATGTGCCAAAATACATACAATTGTAGCGAGTCAACGACATTTCATTCAAAAAGTTTTCCATTTTTTTGTGTAATCTCACAGCCAACATATATTGTAAATATATTCACGTTTGGCCATTTTCCAGCACAAAATATCATGCGCTCATTTCTGTCGTCTTCACTTTTTTAGACTTTGATTCGATCTGCCCCAGATTCAAATTAATCTAAAAGTCTGCACAAGTCAGAAGCACATATAAATATTGAGAACAAAGAAATTCAGCCACTGAGTCATCATGCACTCCGTCGTTGTGTCCTTAATATGAGGTGAAAGAACTATTATTATTCGTGGTATAATTGTACCGTGCGTTTCAAGCATGCCTAGACCTACCATTTCCAAGAATACCAACCTCACCCATAAAACCGGCCTGATTTACAACTCCGCAGATTACAGAAAAGCCAAAATTTCCTTTGCTAATTAAAGTGAGTGTTTGGGTTTTGGGTTATTCCAGACTGGAATTTTTTATTGACCTGCTTCAGACAAGAATTTAGTAGTCCAATTCCGTTCATACGACACACTCGCGTCTTTTTCGTGAAAATGGTACAAAGAAAGTCTTGCGTAGCATCCATTAAATAATTTAATTTAACTACGTATTCTTGCGGCGTTATTTTATTTTGCCTATAATAAGTAATAAGCTCCAGTCTAATATGTGCATGCATGATTTCCTGGTCTAATCACTACTAACTAACAAGAAGCAAGTAAAATGTTTGCCCTTTTGACTTTGAATTTGAACAGGATTGGACCAGTATTGCATAACACGCTCCTATTAATTGCATGCTAAACTACTAGTTGGTTATTGTCATTGTAATTTGAACACATCAAATTCAGATTCTGCTCACGAATTAATTCTGACGTCACTTCTTGCTAATTAATCGAATCTGACCAAAGTGTCAGATTTCATTGTAAGCCTGACATCCTGTTCTACTAGTCCATATAATGAGTCCGATTACATATGTATTCGGTGTTAACACACACATGCAGTTGGGCTCATACGGCGTCGTCAAATTTCATGTGCATTTTTGATAGGTATGATTTACGTAATGAGTAGCATGGCTAATTCAATAGCGTGTAGCTGATTTGGGGCTGTGCTCACTCTTTAAATAATCAATTTCGTCAAGCTGTTAGAAATATGATTATCTAGATTGAGCAGACATTATTTGCAACGAGATAATCAAAATTCGGGCATTGGACATTTTTTCAGTGTGGCAAATAAATATTCATTATTATTGATTTCATTTAGGAGTTTTGTTTGTCAAATGAACCTCCCAACCCGCCCCAACGAAAGTTATCCAGTAGGGCATCCATCATTGATCTTGAGAGGTTTCCTCCTCGTGTTTTGCGTCATCTGACTTAATACACGTCAATCGAGTTAAAGAAGCAATAATGTAGTAGTTGAACGGGAGAGAGAATAATTGTGAACGATATTACATCACATTTTAATGTAATTTGCATCCCATTTCTTCAATTTAAATACTTACTGAAATATGTACAATTAAAATTAAAAGCGTACACAAATATAAATTTTGAGATGTAACAAGCAGAATTTTCAAGCAAAGAATTGTATCTCCTACCTGGTTATTTAGTTTCATTACTTATCCGTCACAACCGCTCATTAGTTCGTGAAATAGAAATCCTTGTACACAGTTTCGTGCTGCACTTTGCATACTCGCTTTCTATATTTGCAATGTCTCATATTTTCATTCTCATCCGAGCTGGCATTGTGTATACAAGTAGGAGCTGTAAGGAAAAGGGTTTTACATGAAGGTCTTAAATATACCGAATGGGACGAGAAGTAAGAGCAGAATAATCTAAAATTAGAGATTTTTCGTACCCATTTCATAAGTAGTCATCCATGATACGTTAGCGTGAGTGCTTCATTCAAGTCGTAAACTATGTGAATGCAGCAAAGTACGTGCCACGTACATTTCCCTAACTTGAAACGTACTCACATTTCTTTATGTCATCCGTGCTACACGTTCAGAAGGAAAGTAGGTAAATTTACGAGGTAAAATATTCTGCAGTCAAAACTTTAAAGTTGAGACGACTAAAAAATAAAAATAAAAAAGTGCTGTAGAGTTGTTTGGCGTGGATGTGATGAGTCAAGTCAGTCACGTTGACGTTACACAACTTTTATTTCATTTTCAACGCCACGTTGAATAACCTTACCTTACCCAAGCTTACCCATGTGATCACTCCTTGTGATTTTACACACAATCATGGTGTTGCCTTCTTGGCTAGAATTATAGTCATCTTCCGTGGCGTGACGAGGTGCGGTGTCTCTGAGGAAATTCTTTTGTGAGGATATAAAATAAACCTCGTGGCTACATGGCTTTAGGAAAACTAGGTTATTTTTATCCGAGGTTAGGCTATGCCTGCAAAATGTCGGAGAAACGGAGAGTTTCCTAACAAAGGAAGAAAGAGGAAAAGTTCCCATATAAAATTTCACGCTGCTTTATGTTGGGCAATGTATTATTTATTTCAAATTAATGCGAAAAAGCTCACCTACATGTTTCGAATTTATTTTCTACTCTACCATCAAATGATCCCCGAAAGAAGACTTGTCTTGCATGAATGGCTGAGTTGCGAAACTCTACAAGTGACAAAGCTCGTCCATACTTACAACGTCTATAAATCGTGAATTTTGCGCAGTCATGCAAGTAATAATCAAATGATATAAAATTGTGCCAATTTAAAAGTAAGCTGGGCTTTGAAGGCAAGATAAATAGCTTTCACGAGGAGAAAGTTGGGAAGCCATTTCGCAGGATTAAACTTTCCTAATACCTTTTCACCTGGACTTTGACATTGAATTATTGGCTTGGTTGATAGGATTTTTTATATCTTTATTTTTAGAAGACATGCATTAAGTCAATCTTGGTTGATTACATTTCGCATGCATGAAGCTCTTACTTATCTTTAGTTTGACTTGTGGGAAGAAATCTATCTATTTCGCTCGGAAATACAATCAGAGTTATCTACCTCTCTAGTGATGCATGTAATTTGCATAGATATTCTCCAGATAGTCACATCACATTCACAACGTACATAATGCCCCAACTTTGGAACGGCTTAATTAAATCATTTTACTTTTGACGAGCCAGACGAGTTTTCGTCTTTCTCTTGGTCGTTGCATAATTTCCGCGGAGGGAGCAGTCAACAAACTGACGGCTAATTAGTCTTTTCACCTGCTCCGGTTATAGGTATACTTTATACTCATTACGCAATCCATCCATAATGGCGTTATGCGTCTTTATATCATCAAAGAACCCATCCATGGTCATAGCCGAAGATGAAGACTCTATTAAGGGTTCCGATCTGACATAATGTTCCGTCAGTCGACGAGTTGATCGTTAGTCAGGTTTTTGTAATTAACTTAGATGTCAAGTTTTAGCCCTCCTTGTACACATATTCATCACGTATTTGTACTCTTACTCATTTCTCGACTGAAACAGGATGTCATTGCCGAAGTCTTTGAGAGTTCATTTTTCACAAATCTTAGACAATGGAGAAATGAACATTAAAATCACATCGACTCATAAACTTTTAGCGTGAGACAATATTTGAATGACTTTGATTTCTTGTACCAGGAATGCGAACATGATTCTCAAAGTCGTCATGCAACCTCTAACCTCTGTCCCACGGCAATTTTATGATTACGTACGCAGAAACTGTGCAAATTGTAATGTTTGAAATAGGAGTAGGAATGTAAAATCTAAATATTCATTCAATTCATTGGTTCATGCTGGAGACACGTGCAAATTTTATTTACCCTCGGCAACTGAGCTATTAACAGACCATTTCATGTCGTAATTCGATATACCAATAAATATCCTATTCATTAGTCTATTGATGTTTCATTTGAATGGAATATCACATTTCATTTACGTCTGGATACCTTGAAACGCGATTTTTTCACTGTCTGAAAACCTGTTTTAATGATACCATAAATAAATCGTGACGCAATTGGTTGTTTAATTAGTTACAAGTAAAATACGTGCGTACGTGCCACATAATTATGGAATAATTCAGGTGGGGACCTAATTAAGAGGTTCATTTGGGATTTAAATCACCATTTGTGACACCTCCCGTTCATGGAATATGCATTATTTTAAAGATTCACGTGTATTGATGAAGCTATTTTGTGATTTCAGGTCCATGTGGAGGAAAAACGACTGGGCAAGCTCGACTATGCACTTTCTTCGAGAACATGGGTTGGAAAGTTTTCAGGGTGCCAGAGGCTGCAACCGTATTGCTGAGGTACGTGCACATGCACTACAAAACAGTCAAATTCCATCGTATCTTAATTTATTTAAAACAAACTTGGAACACAAAAATAGAATGGTTCGTTCATTTTTTACCGTACAATTTATTTGTAAAATTTTTTTTTTTGGCGTAAGCCTTTTCACAAGTCATTGAATTCCAATGTGAAAATTTAAACCTTATCATTATTCTCACCAAAATAGAATATTTTTTGCGCAAAATAAAGGATGAAAGGTCAATATTTTTTAAAAGCAGGGAATTCCAAGACAATTCGTATCAAACATATGAACTGGAATATACTTATTTTTGGGTTGGCCACCAGCCAGATTCTAAATATTTGTTTTAAATAATTTTGCAGTGGAGGGATAAAATTCTCCGAACTTACACCGGATCAAGGTATTTTAAAATTTTATATTATCCCGATGTCCATTTGGTGTTTGTTGGTATTTGCTTTCCAAATATTAATACAATGTTAGACAATCGAGACATTTACCAATCATTTGCACACCCAAATTTGTCAAACAATACATATTTCCTTTCTATAATAGTTTTGAGTTAGAAAACAGAGAGCAGAAGAGAGCGACTATCTTTTTAATGATCGAAATACACAAGCGATATAAAAACTTTCCTTAATCATACTCCAATTTCCAATTCACTTAACAACAAAAATTGACATCAACAATTTAAATACATCAAACTTCTCGCAGACCATTATTGAATTATTGTACATCTTACGTCGTATGCAAACACACACTTATCACCATGCAATTTGGAAATTGCGACAAATTTGAAATTGCCCTGTGAACGGTGTTTGTAAACATTGTCATTTCACTGGAAGTACTTACGTATCTACATGTATCCCAATTTTTGCAAGGATATACATGCACAAAATTGAGGACAATGTCACTATCAAAACAGAGTGAAATTTATAATTCAGCGGAACGGTTTACTCCATAATGTCGCACTGCATATGAAGCTCTCTTCTGGCCAATGTCTGACTTGTTGTGAATCATGTATTGAAAATCAATAGCTCATCGTTTCATAACCCAAAGCTCATTCTTCCCGGTAGTATCTGCTTTATAACAGCCAGTTCTTTTCAAATTCCTCGCAACTATGGGAAAAAAGTTTTCGAGAGCAAATATTGTTGTGGCAAATTGGGAATGTGCAAATCTTTTTGTAGATCTTTGTAGAGGGAATGAGGGTAACACAAAAAAAGTTTTGGTAGCTTAGTCAATTTTTATTTATTTATTATTGCTGCCTGGATGGCGTCGCATTAATTCTTGCTTGCCCGATTTCCGCTAACTGCTTCAACCTTTAGCGTCTATTACTTACTACTACTCAAATATATGTACATGCATTAGAGGACTCGTTGGTTTGTTTGTTCAGCAACTTTAAAAGTCTACATACGTAATGATGACCGAGTCAGGTTTGACTAAAAGTAGTGCTGGCTCGTTGCTCACACACTTTCCTTCTTCACCTTGGCACTGAATGCGCTATTATAATTTTCTAATGCGTCCTATACAATGATGCCATGGGGGCATGACTATGAGACTGATGAAGAATAGCAATTTTCTTGCCAGGATTGATTGATGAGAAGTAAATACGCAGTTTCTTGAAGGAAAGGAAGTTTGGATTGCAATTTTTTTTTTAATTTAGATTTTTTTCATTTTCGCCAAGCAATTAGGGAGAACATGTGATGCGTCACTTATTCAACTTTTCGCCTTGGCATGAAATTAAGATGTAATGCCAATAAGCGTGTTGACAGAAATATTGACATTACAATTTCATGGAGTCATGGAATATAAATTTCATACTAGGAATACAACTAGGGACTAAAACCTTGAAGGGATAGCGGTAGCCATGAACATTTTTGTGGCAGTAGTTTGACGGAAGGAAAAGTTATGTAAATGAGAAATTCTCACTACCCACAAATGTATGCAGTGATTGATCTTAGGAGGGGAGCTTGCGAGGTTGATAATAACAGATCTTGATGCCCTTTGGATATGTAGTAGGGACCAATGAGTGTACTAAAACCCTGAAGTGGTTTGACTCCATGGCCACATTTGCGCCCGCCACACCCACTCAAAAATGCCCAAAAAACGCTTTTACTCCAGTTTTCACTCACTCAAATCCACGCCAAAAATCCAATTTTACTCGGATTTTGAAATTTCTTTCACCCTTATACTCCCAGATAGTTGCTTTCTTCAATACAATATCAAACTCAATATTTTCGAAATTATGAGTATTTTTAAAATTTAAAATTCTGAATGAGCATTGTTGTAGTAATCAACAAAACAAATTATTTTTGCGAAATAATCATCAGTAAAATTGAGTCTGATATTGTATTGAAGAAAGCAACTATCTGGGAGTATAAGGGTGAAAGAAATTTCAAAATCCAAGTAAAATTGGATTTTTGGCGTGGATTTGAGTGAGTGAAAACTGGAGTAAAAGCGTTTTTTGGGCATTTTTGAGTGGGTGTGGCGGGCGCAAATGTGGCCATGGAGTCAAACCACTTCAGGGTTTTAGTACACTCATTGGTCCCTACTACATATCCAAAGGGCATCAAGATCTGTTATTATCAACCTCGCAAGCTCCCCTCCTTAGTGAACAAAATCCAGCTCGTGTAGTGTGAATAAAATGATTACATTGCATTAAGTACGTCTTACGTAAGTAATCCTTTGCGACGATCAAAGATGTAATTATAGAGATGATAGAATTTAATTCGTTTAAAATTGGCAAGGGCACAAAGTCAAATTTTATGTTTGATCCGTTATTGTGTGTTTATACGCTTGGCGCGCATCTGTTTTTAGGATATGTAAGCGTGGTATTTTGCATGCAGACACAACAAGTGACAAGTGATTGGCGGATGAGTCGCCGCCATATGAATATGTTCTGACTGGCGTTTAAATGTTACGTTGGACTTCTCGAGTAAAAGTCTGAAATGGTGCATCTAATTACTACATCATGGGATTTGGAACTGGAACAAATGGTTATCTGCCTGCAGGAGATGAATAAGGAGTCTGGTTGGTACAGTTTTTCGTACCATCTCTCCTCCTATTCGACACAGAAATGGGCGGGTTCGGTCGCATGATTTACGATCAACTTTTGTTGCGTCGTCCCGTTACTGTCTGAAGTATTATGCAAGTTGGCAAGAAATTGTGGCGAGGATTTTCTAATAAAATAAATACACAGACGGTAACACTTATGTGTACATATTAAGGGATGCATTATGTAAGGAGTAAGGAGAGGAACAGGCTTAGATTAAAGGATGACATATGACCTTTATCAAAACGTAGCTGGAATTTATGGGATGATTGATTTTTGTTTGTCGCAACTTCTGGTGGGACAGAGAGAAAATTACAATCTGTTTTAGGTAGCAAAGTATTGTGTGATTGTGAATTGGGCCGGTAGTTAACTTCCATTGTGAATCTGGTGGTGCCACGACGTCTACCTTGATACATGTAGATTGGCTAGAGAATCAAGTAAGAATCTCCCAAGATGTATATGTGCACATATATTTGTCGAATGGGGATGCCCCGAGATTGGACTTTGGATCACTTTCCCATTTTATGTAGTTCTATTAATAGGCGGAAAAGAAGAGGCAGTTGGAGTAGTGTCGCGAAATCTTGGTATTTATTCAGACACACAAGTGCAACTCAAGTTGGGATTTCCTACATTTGAACATCATGCCATTGCGGTCATTGACAATGAAATTATTACACGCCCAATATTAGAACCTCATGTGTCAGAAGCAGAGATCACTTGATTTGCCGGAAGTAATGACTTGTTCTCCAAATTGTGCTGTAGGAGGAACCACAACCGCAAGTGTCACTATTTTCGCATACTTATCACAATAAAAGGGTTGTAATCACCATATTGGTTTTCGGGGTAGAACTTTCCACTACCTTTCACTACCTTTCAGTCTCATTTGTTAGTCAGTCCTACTCTATCTTCCCCGCTTTCTTCTCTCCAGGAATGTCTAGACACCAATCGTTTTTGCCATGACTCATTTTGCAAATACACAAGCGCCTATGTCCTTGTGTAATTAACATGCAAATGAATAAATGGATATTCTGGAAACTGGCTGCGGTTCCGTTGACATCCACCCACACACTCGGCGAACTTAGCGTAATGAATGTGAAACGACAGCAGCAGCATCCAACTCATTATCAATTATTATCATAATTTATTACAATCATTCCACCCCACCCTCCATCAACCATTGGCAAAATAGTTCCATCCACATCAATTAAAATCAGGCCGAATCTACCGTTGTTGGAACCACCATCTCCTCCGTCTCATCTTGTTACACAGAGTGGTGGACGGAGAAAGCGTGTTTCCTGCCTGCTCTGTCTGCGTCTACTTCACAGAGCTAAATTTAGGACGAATGAAAGTAGTGGGACGATATACCACATATTTAGCGAAGAAGAGAGCTGAAATACGGTGCGAGTCACATCTAATCCAATGATGCGAGTGAACATGCAACACCACAGTTTTCCGTCATGATTGAATTGAAAGAGTGAGATTTTTCGAATGAACGGATGTGAGGCAGGAGCAGCAGCATGAGCAGCAGCAGAGAATTGACCTTCAGACAATCCGACCGTGTGGAACAGGGAGAGCAATCCATAACCATCCACCCATCCATTTCTTCTTCCTTCGAATTCGAATCAATCCGGATTAATTCACATCTCCCTTCAACTCACTAAACCAACCAGGCAAGACTCGAATAAGTTCTCACACCGTCTTCTTCCACCGTTTCTCCACACTTTCCCTCTCCACATGAGCTATTTTTATAATAAAACGAGTGCAAAACCGGGTGGAATGAACCAGTTAAATTTCAAGTTCAAAAGGAGATGGGTATTTGCATGTGTATTTCATTCCTTCGCCTTCGATTAATTGAAACACACTACTTCTCGATCTGCCATTCTCTGGGAGAGATTTATGAGACGAAATGCATAACTGGAAAAGACTGGTCTTCCTTTTCCCGTATTTCCCATACATCAACCCACTTTCTCGTTGAGTAGAGACAGGCTTTGAACAGGTGGGTTACACCTGCACAAGTTCGGAGAATGTAAATCCTAGCAAATAATAATAATATAACTCGCATTGCCTGGAAATTCCGGTTTTCTGCTAAGTGTACACATACCTATGTACATATAGCAATATGTTGCAGTAACCACATATTTACGTATAGGAAAGACTAAACGTGACAAATTTGCAAAATAATATATGATTAGTTTGTTTAAAAGCTCAATGATAATTTAATGTGAAAGTGGTATTAAAGCAAACCACAGTATAATACTACTTACTACGACTCGTAATAAGTACCTACTTGTTCTACCAATTATAATAAAGCTGGTAAAGAATTAAGCCATACTTACTTTCTACCCGACGGCACGAGGTAGGCATTACCTTGAGCAGAAAATCCATTTATTCCAACAACGTGTGCCCATCATACATATATATACATAGTTAAACCATTATTATTCTTGCATCGGCTCTGAAAATGGGAAAGTTGAAGAGTGATTCATTCTTTGCAAACGTTGACGAAAGGTGTTTACTCACTCTCTTTGTGAGGAGTATGTGAAAGCTAATTTGCATGAAGGTTGCTGAGTTTCACAAATTAACAAACATCACAAATGCTGGCGAAATATGTGCAGGATGTGTCATCATAGTACTTCAGAGGGTGAAGGGGGGAAATATGTAACAGAGTTCTTACGTACTATTAGAAGTAAAAGGGCACTTAACAAAAAGTAGACCTGAAAAAGAGACTCTGATCCTGTCGTTGTATTTTGAACTGTACACTTTCATGACTTTCTTCGATCTCTATCTCTTCTTAAAAAAATGCACGCTGCTGCCGGAGGTGAAATATGTCCAACTTCTTTTTTTCCTAGTATCGATCCACTGTTGGATATTGTGCCGTGAATTGTCGTCTACAATGCGAAGGCATTCTCAAAATTCACCACTTTCTTTTTGATGATGAGCAAATCCTTGGAATTATAAAAGCAGTGGAGAAGCCGTCCTCAAACGTTGAACGTTGTCAGGGGATTACGATTTCGCTCCGTGCACCCTTTTAGGGAATTTGCACAGGCTTTTTAGAACTGCAATCGCCTTTATAATACGTTTCAAGTGGGAGAAAGCATATAAAAAAATTTTACTCTTATGGAACAGTAATGGTTCAATTGTGCAAGAATTATTTCTCGGGTTGTGATTTTTATCATTTTGCAAAAAAAAATTAATTCCCAAATAATAAGATAGGAGCTTAAGTGCTTGTTAAAAAAACTGTGTTGATCCAGTTTGCGAGTGAAAGTCATTTAAAAAAATTTTTTGTTATAAGGTCTTAAATAATATGCATCCAAAATAATAGAACTGGGAAAATTATTTCTCTTTAATGCTTATTACGGAGCTGTTGACGTTTCGTCTACGACTAGTATGGAATCTACGACTACTAAAATGAACCCATATATTCCATAGCGAAATAAAAGCGACACAAGAGATAGGATCGAAACATATTACGTTGAGCAAACCAAGGGTTGTATAATGCACCTTGTATTGAGTAAGGCCAGCGTGCATATAGTTGTTGCATAAATTGTCTCTAAATCAATACCCACGTCAAGTTATTATTGGAGAGAGAGTGAAAATGGAAATTAAATTATAATTCCAAATCATCAAACATTCGCTGTATACATAATTGCTGCCTTGTACTAGCGCTTGTTCCGTATGGCTTGCATAACCAAACAGCGTTGCTCCTGTTTTATTATATTCGGATGAGTGGCCATTATATTTTCTCTCTTTCTGACTGAATGCATTTTGTGTGTGGGCGTGTTAGCCGCTCTATGTCACCAATGTACTCTTGATGGAGATATCTTGTGTGTATCGTTAGCGAACGATGTTTTCAAATTCTCCAGCACTCCAGTTCCAAGAGGAGTTGGTACGGACCATGATGCAGATCGAGAGGTCCTTCTTCCGCCTGGCCGAGACCGTCAACCGAGACGTTCTCATCATCTGCGACCGAGGAGCGATGGATGCCTCAGCTTGTGAGTTTACATAAACTACTTGTTTTGTACAAAAGATGGTTGGAAATAAGTCAGCGGAATTATTTACTTAATCTTTTTTGTCCGGCCTTATTTTCAGACATCCCACGTGATGTTTGGGAAGGCATCCTGGCCAGAAATGGGTGGAACGAGGTGGACCTTCGAGACGCGCGATATAACCACATCATCCACATGGTGTCCGCTGCTAATGGGGCTGAGCCCTTTTACTCCACGGATGTAAGTTGATAGTTATGTAATATTTATCAAGATTTCTCACCAGGTCACTTATTTTTATGGGCCTCGGAATATCGAATATCTACAAAAAATTGAATTGATGGAAAATTTCTGCATTTCGTATTGCAGGATCATACTTGCCGAACTGAAGGGCTGAGTCTTGCAAAGGACGTGGACACAAAGTGCGCTCAGGCTTGGGTTGGTCACCCCTACTTTGATGTCATCGGTATGTTTGCATTTAGTAATTGCTTATTGCTTCCATTGTACAGCCTGGATGTGTTAGAAAATCCATATCCTCGGCATCAACATTACGAGTGAATTCATTATTTAGAATTGATGAGACAAACGTGTCCGTTTAATTCGTTGCAGATAACTCCACCGACTTTGAAACGAAGCTGTGCCGGATGATTCAAGTAATTTTGAAAAGACTTGGAAACGAGGTCAATGAAGAGGTCACCAGTAATCGTAATAAGCTGATGTTAGCCATGATGGGTATCCCGGTGCCCTCGTGTAGCTCAAAAGACTCAATGTCATCCTCTGGTTACTTTGATTCCTCCGATTCTGAGGAATTTGAAGAATATTTTGCGTGATTTGAATATTTCTAAATTGTATGTTTACAAAGTTCAATTATTACGTCGGCAAAATTGTAGAATCCTCGACTCCCTTTATACAACAAAAACTGACGTAATAGATATGTAGTTTACAGAAGTATCTGGCGTCATCATGATAAAATACATAGGTATTGTAATTTAAAAAAAAATGTGAACCATTGTGACTGACCAAGTCGAATATATATGTGTATGTACATAAAGAAGTATGTACTCCACCAGAAATTATTGGTTACTGGTTTCGTCTTCATTTTCCTTTACCATTCTTGTCCATTTTTATATTAGTGCTGTCCATTTTCAAAGCTTGCTAGTTTCATTACTTTCATTCGCATTTCATGTTATCTAGCAATTTAGTGAGTACATACATGTGCATGTATTTAGCTGCATTGGCATACGATTTATTTCTCACCGCAAAACTTGCATTTCACTGATTGATTCAATGCTTATTTACTCGAATTTGGCTTATTGATCGCAATAAAATCATCAATTTACACACTTGTCACCAGAATTTGGATGAGTTAAGTGTCTACATATGTTTCCTACTTTGCTTATTTTTTTCCTATTTGCTTTTAGTGGTAATCATGACCGCAATTAAAGAATGTTTAATTACTTTTACAACAGGCCGTATGTCAAAAGCTGGGGATTGATGCTAAAGATCGGCTTCAGAATAATTCAAAAAAGATGAAGTTCCTGGTGAAGGGACCTTTGCCGGGGGACGAAGTGTTCCCCAAAGGTTCACAAGACTTTACCGTGGTGCATGACTATCTGCAAACGAGCACTCCCAAAATGCAAGTTCGGTTAAGGAAACGAGGTCAGAAGGTAAGAAATAGGAGTTACGATATGCTCCGTAGCTGGACAACCTTTTCTGAAGCATATTCAAAATTAAAATTGAACACAGCCAAACAACACAGACTTTCTCCTAGTCAAATAGCCTACCTTAATTTCTCCACATGCAACACATGCATATTTTAAAGTGTGGAATGCGCCCTTCTTCAGTTTAATAAGCCACTTAGTCGGTAAAGTACGTAATTAATTAATCTATTCCAGGGTCACTGGAGCTACGCTTACACAGTGAGACATCCAGAACTCCAAGGACAAGTAAGTCCATATCCATTTATTGAATGTACTTGTTCACTCGTAAAGTTGTAAATTACTAAAATTCAAAATTAACCCAACCGTCTAGGTTGTGGAAGTACGGACGCCCCTGACCCAGAGAGACTACAACAACATGCTCTCCCAAAAGGAGCATAATCACTTCACCGTCTACAAAGATAGGCGTGCATTTCTGCTGAATGACCAGTATTTTCAGTTGGACTGCTACAAGGACCCGTGTCATCCGAGGTAAGCTGGATGTCAGATTGAAGGACATCAACTTCATGGTCTTTCCCCCTTTAACGTTCTCCTTAAATTTCCGTACCTGCAGATGCACGGGACTCATCTTCCTTGAGACTTACACGACCCTTTCCAGCGCCGAGCTGGAAATACGACTGCCCAAGTTTTTACACATTGTTCGAGAGGTCACGGGTGACCCACGATACTCCATGTTCAACTTGTCTCTCAAAGAGGGATGGCAAAACAATAAACACTTCTGCCAAAGTCTTGCTGGATCAGGTAACCAATAATTTAAATGAAATGCTAAACGCATCATTTATTTAATTTTGACCAATTATTTTAAAATTGTGAATAATGATTTTCCAGACTCGGAAGAAAGTTTGGATGACATTTCAAACACAGAGAATCGTCTGATTCTTTGTTAGTAGGAGGAAAAAGAGAGCATCACAAATTTCATGACGTAGCAATTGAATTGAATTCTTCGTGCGATAGGAAACTTAAAAAAATACAGCGCATAATAAGAACTACAATAACTAAACACACTATTAATAGTAGAAAGAATATATATGTAGATGTACTTAGAAAACTTAGAAAACTTAGAAATCACTATTTGAGGGTAAAATATATAGTAGAGGTCACCGTTTTAATGACGGACATCATAGACTTTACTACACACTATGTGCAAATGGTACAAGATCTGTTAGAAATAATTACACCCATGTATGACTTCAGTTTAGAGGGAATCTAGTTTCATATCCAATTTATCTTTAAATAGTAATCAATAGGTAGTCGTATTATACAGCAGACAATCGATCCTTCGTCGTCTAAGATTGTGAGATAAATATGAACTCTAAAAAAGGTAGCATGTCATCAACATAATTACACTACCGTACTCATCACAAGACGATGATTGACTTGAACACTGCACGTAATGCAAACCAATGCAATGCATAAGATAATTTACAAGTAATTGATTTCAGATTACGATTACTAGTAAAACATTGGACTAGGTTGTTGCGGCCTTTTTTCCGTGGGAAGTAACAACAACTTTAGTCGTAATTCGTCCTTTCTAATCTAAACGAAAGCTTGAATATCATAGGAAAATGTCTGAATTGATGACTGGCATTTCTAAATTATACAGGTTATGCGGCTAACATGACATTTTGTTATGTACATACATTAGTATATACATACACAGACTATTAAATAGGTACCTATCCATACAAAATCTTTGTAATTGACAGTTTTACATTTGGAGAGGCCAACTTTGAGTCAATACGTTACGCCACTGCTCCTGACCTGTTATTATCTTTTGACCACTATTTGTGGATAATACATATTGATAAGATTCTCTCAAATCCAATCGGAAACTATCGAGACGCTTATAAGAATATGCCAAGTAGTATTTACGCAGTATTCAAAATCGACTCTAAAAAATATTGAGCTTTTGATTTCTAATATTCCCAAATTTTTTTAACTACCAATTTCATAAACACTTACGGGTCTTTTTTTCTGGCTAGGATAATAAGTATACTGGTCAAATCTTAAGCCGTTCCTTAAAAACTATGCAAGTAAGAACGTACGTGTGTATGTGAATAAATCCAACATATTTATGTAAATATGACCCAATTTGACCTTTTAAAGTTCGACGTATGTAAAAGTATGGATGGATGGATGGTTAATAGCTCCATGGGGCAACTACAATTTTGTACTGACAGGTTCTAAATAATTTAAAAGACAGCCAATCCTCAATTCGTTTGTTGCGTATGGAAAGAATCAGAATTATAACGTTGTACAAAATATGAGAAAAACAGGAACCAATAATTGTTTACACAAACAGAGCAAGCAATTTGAAACTGACGACGAGTATTAAGCACAAATTACTTTCCAAAGTTTCCGTTCAGGAATAGATTCTTCTTGTTACAAAAATTGACCTCTCCGCATCGTCAATTATTATCAACTCCATAATACATATAACGTCATCCCACTAAATTGCTAATCATCAGCCATTGCATTTCATCTCATATTTTAAAAGACATTCATTACTTGTATATTTATAGCAATTCTTCCTCCTTTATACATACATATAAATACGTAGCGTAAATACACACATATTTGTTAAATCACTATTAAATAACTGGACTGTTATCGACGAATTATTGTCGTTTCGCTGGTGAAACATTTATGCCAATCGTAATCAATAATCGTAATCAAACAAGCGAAGGGAATAATTTCTCTGGCGAATCAATTTTCAAAACTGTTTCTCAAAATTATTATGACAAAAAGGAAATTGGAACCAACCTCTGAGTTATTTTACCAAACAAATTGTACCGACTAATTACATAAGAGTTTAGCATGTACTTAAAATTTCAATATTTTCATAACGCAATGCAGTGCATGCATAGTTTGGAAATCATTTCATATTACAGGAATCTAAAACTACACAATAACCATTTCATCATATGTACATATAAGAAAATTTTGTCCTACATAATTCTGAAAATTTTTACATCAAAATGATCAAATTATTGCAAAACCGAAATCTTCCTCAATTTTAAAAATAAAATTAAATACCAAACCATAAACTTCCTTCGGTAAACCTTCAACGACGACAAAAAGAAATCAAAGTTCATCCTCAACACAAAAACCTTGTTTTTGATTGACAAAAATAACAAATGAATAATAATTTTAAATGCCAAGAGGAATACTGCGGAGCTTGAATGAGTTTAGTTTTAAAAATATGATTTAAGAGGCTACGAGTCTTTGTTATAGCATATAATCGTAGTTTTATTTATTTAGGTAGAAAATAGTTGAGTGCTGAAGATGCAATACTACAAAGTTTTTTTTTTAAGATTATGACACTTAAAAGTTTAAAAGAACCTTTGTGATAAATCATGGATGGAGGTTAAGTTCTATAGTTTGTTAATATGCTTATTATTTCTGCAATTGTCTGATCGTACCTTGGAAAACACTGTCCAACTAACGGTATCTGATGTCATTGTGATCAACGCTACCAACTAGTATACTTGAAGTGAGTTAGTTATGTGCTGTGCGAATGGAGCTAAACTCACGAGAAACCCTAGTCTCAGCACAAGGTACTTCAGGAGGCCGTAGGTTTAAGCTCCACCCGCACAGTACATAACTCGTTCACTTTATGTATAGTTGTACCTAATCTTTTTGTGATCCATTGTATGAGTGTGATTTATTGAGATTGTGTAACCGACAAGAGTACTTGACTTTAGAACTGTAAAATATTTTAAAATTATACAACATGTTTTATTATTTTCCGATAATTAATTATTACAAAGTTAATTATGCATTCTCTGTCAGGTTGGCAATTTGGTCAACTTTAATAAACTTCCAGTCTCTGCATAAACAACAACATCGAACAACAAACTTTTGAAAGTTGTCAGTGTAAAATATTTCACTAGAAATATAATTAGCAATACAATTTTCATTAGATTAGATTTCGACTATCGGTATGTATCAAGTGCTGGTCATCTACCTTAATTCTTCTACCAACAACTGCAACCCATGGCTGCTAACGGACCTGACTATGTTTACTGTAATAGTTCAACAATAATTAGTAAATAATATACTAGCGGTTAGTTCCTCGGATATTGTAATTTATATTTTTTATGAATGTGAAGGAACAATTGAATTAATATAGTCGATCCACACTTACATAATAAAGTACCATCATATTGTGTAATTAATATGTAAAACTTATGCGTACATATTATTATGCCATTAAGTTTCATTTAGTCCACTTTGTGGAAATATGAATCTAAGGAAGCAATTTTCTAAATATTTCGACATACTTATTTTTCATCATGCATCATTTTCCTATAATTAAAATGTGCGCATATTATACTGACGAATTTTACATTATTAGCAGTTTCAGTGTATTTATCACAAGACAATTTTTTAGTTTTTTTTTACATTCCTTTATAATTGCGAATGCACGCACACCGGGAATCATCGTTCATATAATGAACTTAACTATATATGCGAGATATCATTTCGGAGATATTGTATCTACTTATCTATGTACGACCGAGTGGATTTTAGTACTACATGCTTTTAATATATATGTATAAGGCGAAGTGGGTTTATCTCCAAAGGATGTCAAGTGAAAGTAAGATATATGTACTATTCTAATTCAGTGTTGGAAACGTCGCCGCTTTTATCTCCAGTACTGTCACCGTCATATTCACTATAACTTTCGTCATCATCCATATTGTCAAAATTAAGTGTACGTTTCACGGTTTCTGGTTCTTCGTCACTGCTAACCTCCTCGTCTTCGAGTTCTGGCATGGGAAATCGGAGGATTGCAGCAATTCCAGTAATTTGTTTCAATTCTGCATTCAAATCATAATAATGGTTTAGTCTAACATAGAACATATGTGAAACCAGGACAGTTTAAATGAACTTACGTTCACCGGAAACGTGAAGGCTGGAAAACATCCGAACTTCGCCACCATTTTCTTTCACTGACTCAACAATGTTCACATAGCGTTTTCGTGTAGGAACATCACAGCCTCTGTAGGATTGCAAGTACACATTTATAACAGGCTCTATGATGGATATTACATTGTGTATAGTCAGCTTAACTAACTAATTTAGCACAGACCTAAACAAGCTGTCAGCAATCAGAAGAGTTTCAATTCCTTGAGCTTCAGAAGCTTTCTCCACCTGTTTCAATCCATAAAATGCTTTCTCTGGTTCGGTTTGAAGCATTTGGAAGAAAGCCTCCAGTGCTCGCACTTCTCCAGCTGCTTTGGTATCAGCAAGTTTTGCAGTCACCGTTGGGTCTGCCAATATTTCTGAAAATAACCAAATATTCAACGAAATTGAAATAAAATAAGATTTTTGGCTAACGTAAAATTGGATTATAAACATACCACTTAAAGAATGCTTGAACCCACTGGAGGCATGGACAAGTAGAAACTTTCCTCTGTTGTCCAGTAAAAGTTTGTTTTCCATTTTGGTAGCTTGTCGTATCATAAAGTCAAAGAATTGGTCCTTAACAAATCCTGGACTTGCGATCAGAACACATTTCACCACCTCAAAATTGATATGGCGATCCACGGCTTCCAATATGCTTCCAAAAAATTTTTCCAACCCCTAAAATGGAATAAGTGATTTTCCCTTTAATGAAATTCATAATATTTATATTTACATTGTACCTTTTCATGGTTGGTGACATTCCCGTGCCGCTTGCGAGGAATTGACTGTTCAATTTTTGCTCGTACTATGGTCATGCTAGATAAAACAAGGCATACATGAGCAAGTCCTTCTTGCATAATTATTGCAGCTACATCTGCTCTCTGAAATGTAAAAATTCCCAAATATTAAGCCAAATTGTGTTTTTAATGCTGTTCCTTTCCTCAATCCACGCACCTCAGTAGGATCACAACAAGAGTCAATCCTATCCAAGTCTACAGAATCGAAATGCTTTCGTATGGTAAATTTCCTGTTAACTTCCAGATCCAAAGTGTGGTAGGCACCCATCTATGAACAATGACATAAGCGTTAAAAATGTTTATTCTGCAATCAATTTAGCACATAACTTGTATCTTGATTACCTTGACAAACTGATTTTCTTGAACATTTCTCCCCTTCAGTCTCAAAACGCAGGCCTGCGTGTCGAAGTCAATATTTTCCACCTTGATGGTGAGTGTCGTCCGAATTCGATTACTTGAGGAAGAGCCAGTTACAGATTCCGTTTGGACTTTGCGAATTGTGGAAGCTTTCACGAGACATCCCTGAGTGATGAGATTGTAAGCGTGCCACATGTCTTCATCCTCCTCAGCAATCATCGCCACATCTCTGCATGAAACAAAATATGCAAATTACTACATGCTCAATATTCAAATTTTCCAGTATGGCTTTACCCATTTCCATCCTTATCCAGATATTTACCACACAGCTTCATTTTCGTACAAGTTATTCGATACAACACCACAATTTATAATATCTGCTTCTATTCTTCCTTATTTTTCCTCCTTACAAAACTTTCTAATACAATAATTTTCTACGACGAGATAGCACTATTCAGTTACTTAATTTCTATACATCACTTTTCTAATATCCCCTCTGTCAACAGTATGGGGTATTTAATTTGGGTTCACGTATATGCAATAGACGTATATTATGTCTATGTCTCTTAATGTCTAAACTTGACACACTTTCAGAGGTTTGATTTATTATTGTCCGAATATTACGTAATTTTGACAGTTCTCCTGCCGTGGAATAAATAATTTTGTTCAGATTTCTCCCTGAAAATCTCTTTGACTCATGGGATAATGAATTTTTACCGAAATTCGTCACTTTTTCTGCTGCTTGGACACCATTGTTAGAGGCTAAATTGGTGAAAGCAGGGGACGAGGAAGCGAAGATAACAACGAAGACATATAATAATTCTGCCAATCTGCACGACTTTTGCCTTTCATTTAATGGCAACTGTAATAATTCCATTGGTGTAACAGCAGCCGATAAGGATGACGAAAGGTGATTTGTTAAAGTCAATTCCGTTAACTTTCAGTGTCTTCTGCCGTGTCATTTATTTATTTCCTGGTAACTTCAAAAAAACCAAGAATTGTTCGTTTTCTAGTGTCGTTGCATTATCGCATGAACTAGAAATTAGAAAAATCAAAAATCAATAAAGTAATTACTGACTTATGACAATGTCATTATGACATCATCACATAAACTAAAATAAACAATAGTCTTTCTTATTTCAAATTGAAATTTTCAATAATAATTATATTTTCCTTACCTGTCAGAAACCACTAGAAAACGTATTTAATGTAGTGTCATCAGTAATGATTCATTACTTCGTTCCTTAAATAAATCTTAAATATTTCCTTTAATGAGTCAACATCTGGAACACTTTACAGTTTCACAACTCGCAATGTGATGACTCCGAATTTCCTGGCCCACGTCTCATTTATTCTCACTCGCCCCAGAATTCCTCACTCTCGGCCAAATTTGAGACAAATTTGAGACAAATTTTGGTGAAAACATTTGATGAAATTTGTATATGAAAATAATTTTGCAAATTTTGTTTTCTAATGGTAAGTACAACTAATTTTTATTACTTCATCCATCAACATCCTGACACCACATTCAGTTGTAATTGCAATTGACAAGAGAGAGGTGAGAGTAGTGATTATGAATAAGGTTAAGATGAGACAATTCTTGTTTACTTTTACTCACATTCTTTTTCTAAGAGACTAAAATCTAAGAGTTTAACGTGATACGATTATTGTTTTTTGTAGATAAGTTGAGATGATTTGTGACAAGAAGATTGCAATAGTCTAAAGTTTTTACTACTTATTAAGTGTTTTTTACTAGTTATTTAACATGCATGCGAGTCAGATGAGGTAAAATTGTTTACGGGAGACGAATTGAATCATTCCCAATTTTTCATGGAATCAATTTTTAGTTGTTTTGGATACCTTTAATACTTTTTTTGTTTGGATTTACTACGATCAAGACTGTTTTTTAGATAGATCAATTACTACAAGTGCAGTGCAGTGCATGCTGTAAAGTGGAAGGGATGTGCAGTGCGGAATATGTGCAGATTTTTAATTTTTATATTTGTGCTGAAATTTGCATATCCGTTGATTTTCAGGATTGGTGACGAGTGCAGTGTTTTTGTGTGTGAACGAAATATTACAGTGTTGAATGCATTATATGGTTTTGATTAAATTTTTCATCTGATATATAATCTTGGAGCTTTCTTATTTTTGAAGAATAGTACAAATTTTCTTTTTGAATCGAAACATTATTGTCAACGAATCAATGCTAAAACAATGAGGGCTGTATTGTATTGTCATTGGAAATTTAAGGAAGAAGAGAGAAATTTTAATTGTCAGCACTGTCAAAAGTCTATTCATTTTTCTGTTTCGCACATTATTGTATGTATTTGAGGTGAATTTAGCTTGAATATATTGTCGTCGTGTTCCTTATTGACTTTTTGAGTAAATTTGAATTGATAACTTTTTGTTCAGATCATCAAAATCAATTATTATCTTTGTTTTATATATTTGTCACATTTTAACCCTTTTTGAGTCAACATCTGCATGTTTCAGAGAAAGTTTTTTTAGCCAAGCCAAAAGCTGAAGCATTTTGGGAGTTAGTTTAGCTACCTAATATGTACGTATTATATTAAGCAAGCCATTAGACTATCAAGTGTTAAGAATATTTGTATCTTCAATATCTGTGATTTTCTGGTTGTAGTAATAATAACGCATACAACACGAAATTCACAAAATAAGTGTGAATGATGATAACATTGTTTAAGTAGAACCTAATTTTAGAACCATATTACCAGCATCTTTTCGAGTATATGTAGAAGAGATCATACATAATGAATAATTTGATAGATTAGCTATTCTTATTGTATAGAAAAACGATATCTTATTATCCACACCTCCAAAATGTGAGTTCTTGTAATGTCGAGTAAAACGAACTGCTGGAGCTGTGAATGTGATCAGAACAATACCGACATCAATTAATATATAAACCATTACACTATTTAGTAAACGATCTATTTTTACAATTATAACCCTATTTACATATACTTAATTATGCAGTATGTATTTTACTTATTTGTATACAGGCTACGTTTAAATGCTTCTTGTAATAAGTGAACCAAAAAACTGACTCAAAAGTTAACGACTGTTTTATAGCAACTACGACTATGAGTAGATAGCTAATTGTCTAAAATCTACAATTAAAGTCAGACACTCAAAGGTCTAATTACTCTTGATTATTGTCATTAGTCCATGAGTCGCATTTTCTCATGCTTTCTTCTCTTACCTAACGAGTTCCTTATCTACAACAGACACGAATTGCTATAAATTGCCAGACTTTACTTGACGTAATTTTAAGCACATCAATTACACTATAATTGTAATAGTATTATTAATTTGACTAGATTACATATTTTTTCTTGTATAGTATCTTGGATTTCTGTACATGTGGATATTCGAAAAATTAATAAATTTTTGATAACGGCTGCTTTTTCAAAGATGTTTTTGTTGCGTCCAATTCAGTGCAATAGTTAATATTGTTGAATCGTTATTCCTGGTTGGAACAAATTGGAACAGTTTTTTTTCGTGTGGAATTATGTGATTGTGGTCTTTTTTAAGTATTGACCAGGTTTGTTGATGTCATAAGTTAAATGTAAAAGGAAAGCCAGAATCTTAACAAAGTTTCATCATGTTTTTGTTACGCAAGCCTGGAATCATGCGAACTTTGGGGCTAAAATGTATCCAGCCAGGTTAATAATTAAAGGCAAGCAAGTCATATTTAATCATGCATTGTTAATTGGACTTATGCAACCAGAATTGTAATGGGATGCTGTATATAACACAGCTATTCACCACTACTTCTACATATATCTCTATATCCTAGTTCAACAGCTATCTCTAAATGTAGGTGTTAATCTAGTTTTTATATAAATAAATTAACCCATGTAACTAAAAATGCAACTCAAATGTTATAAATACGACATTGCGGCTTACAATAGATCCAAAGTTGTCGCAGATTAAAGTAAATTCATAAAAATTAGTAAAGTAGTTTGTTAATTTTCAGCCTCAATTACGGTGCCGGATAACAACGATTTAAAAATAAGGTATGAAAATAGTAATTTTGTTACATTTTTTGAATTACCGATTGTCAAACTAATAATTTATGAAGAGATGAATGTGATAATTAATTAGCAAATCTATTTGTAACAATATACATATATCGGTAAGAATACAAGTTAATTGACAACTTTCTTAGATGATGTTTTTTATATACAACGAAATCACACTGTACCTTTTTTCTCATCTTTACGTTCTGAGTAAAGTTTGCTCTGACAATAATAGTCGTATAGCAGCTAAATTATTAGTTTCATGCATGATTTCTTATTACCTTATAGCAAACAGAATTGTAACATTTAATGAACAAGTACCTACACATTTACTTCTTCCAAATTAGTTGTACAAGCATTTTGAAAGATTGGCATTTTGTTGTTGAAGTTATTGTCGAAGTAATCACTACAAGTTTTCTTCTTAAGGTTGTAACTTTAAGTAGAATTACGTAATTGCAGTACTTAAGTTTTATACCGATTTGTAATATATTTTTAGCCGAATTATATATTTTTTAGTTCCTTCGACATGATTTTGAGACTCAAATATGAGACGTGAGTCCATAACTAAATAGATGAAAATTCTGCCTCTTAATTGAATAACATGTTTCTAGTAAATCTCCTCATTAAATTTAGCCTTGAACAATTTCCAATTTTGAACGTTGATAAATTAAAAAATGGGTAACTTTTGAAAATTTATTTACTGGAGGATATACGTTCATCAAACAAATGACTTTCAACCTAGAAATTGCCGACTTTTCCCAGGATGAATGTCATGCCATAATTTCATGAGTTTGAATTTTAACGAGAATCGAGCCAATGCCACCCACACTGTTCGCCAAAGAACGGCACAGGGCGCCGACAAGAACCCTGTGCATTCTTTTATTGCTCGGAATAATAATTTCGCAATTTTATTCTTCGAAAGGCGACATTGGCTCATTTCTTTAACCCACAAGTCGTTTGGTCACAGTTCAGTCCAGTGCCAACCACTCAACTGTGATCAATTATTGTAGCTTGTTGGAGTGATTTGATCAATTTCAATTACCTACATATTTAGTTAAATATTTCATAATGGATAATTAATTTGTATTGTAAGTTTACAAACTATTAAAACCTATAAGTTATATCAATACATATCATATATAACAAGTATCAGAAATACAGTAAGTAATCCAAGTCGACCAGTTGACATATGAGGTGCATTATACTATGCACACTAACGTGAAGTAACGTGATGGTGATGATGGTGGTAAGAACTGATACGATATCTTCGTAGGAATGCAAACAAAGTTTAATCAGTAAAGTTTGAGGATTACTTTGGCAAGAACTGTGAGAATTAATGCAGCCGATGCCAGATTAAAAAAGAGTGTACCATGAGTCCTTAGAATTGTTGGTAGTCAGTAGTGGACGTCAGTTTCTGGGTATCGTTGAACAATAAGTACATCTCCCCCTCGGATTTCGTGTGTATTGGAATCTCTCTGGTTTCCTTTCTCTCTTCGTCTCTCTCGAAGATTTTTTGGGGTGTGTTTGTCTCTGTCTCTCTTTTTTTACGTGTAGTAAGTAAGGGATAGAGGGAAAGTGCGTACTTGTTCCTCGTCGTATTTAGTTTCATCATTATACATATGGTCAGTACATCAAATTTTAGTAGGCAGTATGAAGACTTTCGGTTTTTTAGAAGCTGTTATTTAGTGCTTGAAAATCTGCGCAGTTTTCAGTATGTGCTTGCGCATTCTGGCGGATTAAATTCGCCAAAGACATTGAGTTCGTACAGACTGGCCAGAATCATGAACAGAAGGTACCACAGCATGAGAACCACGCCATAGGTTTTGTTCAACTGCCACTTGTTGTAGTGGGTCGCAATGAGTAGGAATGCCACGGTGGAAAGCAGTGATAGAGTTGAGTATGTGAGTCCTGGGAGAAAGTTTCAATGATAATTTAGTATTCGTATGCAGTAGTCCATTACGAGATTTGTGCATAATTGGTGCATACCTTTGCTAATAACTTGGACAGAGTCTCCAGGGTTGATGACGACCGTGGCAAGGAACCAGGGTAGACCGAGGCAGATTAGGATGTCAAACACATTCGAGCCAACAGCGTTGGAAACGGCCATGTCACCATAACCTGAACACCAAGATGAATAAGAATATGTTAGATACACGAATTATACGGACAACACTTGTATGTTATATGAATTGTGTATGAAACCAGCCTTCTTTCATCACAGCGAGAGATGAAAGCGCATCTGGCACACTGACTCCGGCTGCGACGAAAGTGAGACCCATGACAGTGTCTGGCACTCCAAGTGTGAAACCTAGAGAATATGTAGAAATGAGGTTAATATGACAATTGACGAGGACTTATGAAAAGCAACTAATCCGCAAACTTACCCACAACAGTGATCATCCAAACCATGAAGTAGGAAAATATGGCGATCCAAACCATTGCCATGGTGAAAGTGATGACATACCAAGAACGCCACTGTTCCAATCGGCAGTCCGGCACGGTGTAGTAGAAAAGGTAGATGAGGGGGAGTGACACCCTCCACAGACCTTGTTTAAATGCACCTCCTTCCGGGGGATTGAATTGGGTCATGATGGACACGGGGACCACAGGAACTTTATTTGGGGGGTCATATCCTGATTCTCCACCCGCCCCATCCATCCCACCTGAACAGAAATGCAATGCCTTAAAATCATGTTTTGTCCTAAAAATAATTCAATGCTCCTTCTTCCGTTATACTACGTTTTTTGGAACCAAATGGGTCACTTTCATCATGCACAAAGCAATTTTATTTGTCAAAGGAAAGTATCTGATTTTTCGACCGTTCCAAATCCACAGCTCTGAAGCGAACACGATTCGATAAGCTCAATTTATGTACGTCCAAATTGCTTATCTGCGTCATAGACTTCCATCAAACATTCCTCACAAATATTCTGTATATCTCTAATTCTTTGTTTTACTGATTGTGAGATTTTAGTGTATCTATGCTCAAATCTCTCTGTATGTGCATACATACATACGTATGTATATGAATCTCAGAAATCCACAAGCCTGCTTTCTCCCACATAAGTACGTATCAGCGTCACAATAGTCTTTTGCGTTTGGCAGATGTCTGCTCATCTTTTGAAATGAAACATACGAAATAAATACAAGTGAATGACTTACCACCGGCCGAATAGTCGATGGACGCTTGCTGAGTTTCACCATATCCCATTGTGTTGGCGGTGGACTGATTCGGGTCTCCTGGCGCTGATTTGAAGGTGACAAGTCCTGATTTCTCCGAGGGAAGGACGGAAGGGTCGTGAACGGGAAATGGGATTGGCAGGGTGTTAGCCCAAGCTTCCAACACGGTGTTCATATACATTGCCCAAATGTAGAGCCCGTACAACAATAGAAGGAATATGGATTCATACCTGCGAATGACAGTCGAATGGATTACAATATAATAGTTGGCTTTATTTTGTCAAACATTTGTCAAAGCTAAATCTCCAGAACAGAAATAATTCCACGTAATGAATGTCTCGCGGATATTATTATTGAGACGTTTCATCTCACGTGTAAGGATATCTCTTGTCTACTAACGCAACAACAATACGTGCGGAAGGGCAGACCATTGAGAGAATGCTTTCACTCGTCTCAATCTGTTGAGATTGAGACGAGTGAAAGCATTCTTTTACGAGTGTAACATTATTTTTCACCAAGAAACTACGGAAATAAACTAACTTACCATTCGATTTTTTCGTCATATATACAAATCAGGAGAGCAAGGATGGAGAGCATGTAGAAGAAGCAGTCACGCACCAAGGGCCACCAGTTGAGATAGAGCACCGTTTGGGTCATCAAACCGCAAATTGCAATGACAAACATTATGTTGAATACGGCCGAGCCAATGACTCCGCTCACGCCGATGTCGTCCTGGAATTTGTTAGACAACCGATCTTTTAGCCTTATTTACACGGATACTGTCGTAATCTCAATCAGGTATCAGACTGGAAAAGCCAGCTTTCACCCAATTCCATCCCCTGCACTTGCACCTGGAAACACTGCACGTCAAAGGAGGAGGGTGATTTCATTATTATTTTTAGAACAAAGCTCTTTTTGATGCTAATTAATGCCTCCCCTCACATTGCATTCTTCAGTGTTTACTAATACGTACTCGAGACTTTCCAAATTTTGATGATACTTATTTCCTCCGTCAAATTCAGGAAGATAATAAAGCTCTACACGAATATAATTAACGGAAAAACGAGAATAAAGTCTGCGAGGGGTGAAATTCTACATTATTCGTTACACATGTAGCAATAGAAATTTCTGTGATCCTTGCCGACATTTGCTATCAAAAACAGATAATTTGGGCCCACCTAGCAACAAATATGCTGTGATAGAACCCTCTCTAAAAAAGATCCTGCTTCCTATTTTATTCAAAATGATATTTCAGCCCAGGAACTTGCCGATCGACTGAATAGACAACAAGTATTCAAGGAGAAATCAAGTTTTTACTAAAGTTTGACAACTACGAACTGTCTGTCTGACAAGCTTGTTCTCGTGGAACTTTTTCTACTTCTGTATATTCCAAAAGTTGAAAAAGTAACGGTGGGCAAAGGGTGTTTCTTCAGTAACTTCACGGTACGAAAAGTTTCGCAACAACTAATTTGAGCGTGGAGGCAAAATTCGAAGAATTGATAACAATAAGCATATTTCGAGAAACTGTTTGCAGACTTCAATGCATGTAAGTATATACTTGTACATTACTAAGGCTTCTACAAAAAAAAATCAATTCTTTCATGACGCACTGTGGACATATATTAGATTTGCGAGTATGGATGTATGTATGCTGCGGTGGAGTGGGTGTCAGCTACAATTTTATTAATCTCTTTATCTGTCTCAGTTCTAGGAAATCGTATAAACAGCCATTTCTCGGAAACAACTGTATGCGATTAGATTTTGGAGAGAACTACATATATTTCTTTTCTGGGGGCTTTTTGATGGTTGGGATGTGCGTCAAGTGTGAGCATGAATGGGTCACGTCTATTTGTGTAGATCTCAATCTACTTTTCCTCAGAGATTGGTATTATACTCTAGAATACTTTATCGTATGGTTCTTCCTTATTGACGAAGGCACATATTATATTGTGACCAGATAAGAAAATATTAAAGTAAAAATACCTTTGCAATAAATACACCAATTAACGCCGTTGCCAACTCTGGTGCAGATGACCCTGCGGCCATGAACGTCGCTCCTGTGGGATTTTTTAAAAAAGAATATCCTGGTTATAAAAAATAAAGGTCACAAAAAATATTAATTGATAATATTATATTACCTGCGACATCCGGTTGCATTTTTAGAACTGCAAGCACAACATAACACGACAGTTTAAATGCATGAAACGAACCTAAAGCCATTTTCCACGCCTGCAAGTGGACATTTCCGTGCTATCTCACCTTCGCACATCTTCTCCAAAGACGGGACGAAAAACTCATCGCAAATTATCGCCAATGCCAAGAAGGTGTAGGCAGCCACGGCCACGTGAATGATAAATCCTCCCTTGTTCCTCAATCCAGGTCCCATTATCGTCGGTGGAAATTGCTCAATGGCCGGTTTGATGCACTTACTTCCCCAAATTGATGCTAAGAAGTAGACATTTTTTAATCAAGGCTATACATGACGATAACGAATAACGCTTATCATGGTATCTTTCTCACTCGAGTTCTCGTCGAGGATGGGCAAGTCATCGGACGACGGCGTGGTGGAAGTGTGGTGCAACTTATAATTCATGGTGGAGTGGTGGTGCTCGTTTTCCTTCCCCTCGTGATGGTGACCCCCTTCCCCCCCGTCGACGTGATGGGTTTTGGAGGGTGTCGTGTGCTCATGGTGCTTCGACTTATCTTCACCGTACGTCGACTTGAGGGCACTGATGACAAGAAAGACAGAAAAGATGACGAAGTACGAGGTACGTGATCGTCTCTTCCTCACTCGCACGACGCCGTTGGTGTTGGGACTCACGGATGCGAAACCTGATGATTCTGGGCAGGTGGAGGACATTCTTTCTCTGCTTGGCATTTTTGTGTAGTTACTTCTGCAAGGAAAATAAAAACTCTTAGAGTTTTGGCTTCGTACATTGTTCAATTGTGCTGTGTAAATGAGAGCTGAGTCACTTGCTCAGTAATTTTCAACTTTTTCTAACAATTTAAATTTCTCTGGAACAACATCTTTCTGTGTAAACATTGTTAGTTTGCTTCTCAGAAAATCTCATTATCAAACTTTAACCTGCGCACAAGACGTGCCACCCATTTCGTAAATCTATAGTAAAGAAGTTCTGCATACACACATCGTTTTCCTGAGAACCTATACAAATTTATGGTCTGGACACCATCAAACGCACCCTAAACTAGGAGTCTGTTGTCTGTAAATTTCTTTTATGCGAGTCTCAGTCACGCGTCTCGAACTCTGTGTTTTAGTGGATGAACGGACAGTAATGAGCGAAAGAGAATAGCGTGAAAGTCACGTAACACTTTTGTCGCTGAACGCTGATCCCAAAAAACAATGCGAAAGTTTGCACGTACACGATACAAAATGTGGAGAAAATATTGATCACACACAACAAAATTTGGTAAAAGTGCTGAAAATAAATGATCACAACCCACCGAATGACCAATACATGACGATAAAATACATAAGCTTATTAGAGGACATGTTCTGTAGGCGTTTGAGGTCAGAAACGTAAATAAGTGAAGTTGCCTCCTGTGCGCATTCTTATCACGAAAATAATGAAATTAAGATGGTCAAATACTCACCATTTGACATGATATCTGAGTTGTTCCAAATTGATTGTACTCTACTGATCAGGAAATTAGTTTATCTGAGACGACTATTTTTTTCTGATAGCGATAATCTCTCATAATGTCTTGAATATAGATTTATGAAAATGTGAAGTGCATTCTACATTGTACTTGAGCATTTCATTGATATATTTGATCAGTGAAGATGATGGTGGTATTCTTTTAGTGTGATGCAGATTCCCCATTTCAATATTTGATATCAAATAAACCATTCATTTATTTGGTGTGTTTTAACTGATCTCGTATTAACCGTAGTGCAATGCAACAGGCACAAAGCCACAAACAGAGACGATTTATGTGCCTGAATGTGGTCTCGTTAAAACAGATAACATAATAATCCAGCATCAAAATATTCTAGGCATATTGGGTCAACTATACTCAATGCTAAACTAAATAGGCTCTAATATAGTATTTCATAGAAAAACTAATTTCCGCTTTCCAATATAAAGTTATCGTCTCCATTCTACATAAATATTGACAAAACAACATTATTCTTCATGAATATGAGTAAGCTCTGAGAAAATGTATATTGAAAAATCCACCACCACCACCACCACTAGACAGAAATCACAAAGAGGATGAAATCTCTCATGATTTTGTTGTGAATAGAATAATAGAACTATAGAACCTCGCAGCAGCAGCGGAAAAATCATAAATGGAAAGTTTTACTGTAAAAGAACAACTCTTTCGGGGAAAGTTGAGCATTTTGCTTTCATCCATAAATACAGAGTATCACGAGTGACTATACACTAATACCTCCTCCTCGTCCCGATCATATCTAAAATTATCCATACGTCCGCATCGTCGTAACCAGTTTGAAGAACAGAGTGCAGCCCTGCACGAGCTTGTTATGATGCCATGTTGTGTTGTGTTAAGACCGTTTTGCCCCTTTTTTACAGAATGTCTCTGAACTACGGAACTTCCTCATTTCCTTCCGACATCATTTTACTCCTTATTTTTCGTATCCTCGCATAACCGGCGACTGCTTTCTCTCTCTTCAAATTTTGCAGTCATGGCTTCTTCTTTTGTGCTGCTCTCATTATCCTCCGACTAAATCAAAAGGTGAAGGACGCAAATAACGAATGCAGGCTGGCGTCGTCTGGTAATTTGGAAAGAAGAAGAAACTAAAACGTGTTTTTGATTCATTTTATACATAATTAGCAGCTCTTCGAGAAGTTCTTCTCTCTCTTTTATTTACTTTAAACTACGTGAGGAACTTTGAGATTTTTTAAAACAGTATTAATTCTGTCGGATCCGAAATAAAACAGAATCTTTGGAATATTTAGTATTCATCTGGCAACACGCTTGTCGCTGTAGCATGAGGGCATTTGATTTCAATACATACCAGACGATCTGATTTTACCCGAGGACGTTTATTACAACTTCCAAGCCAAGAAATTCTATGAATGCCCATCCCTTCAAGAAGGAAAGCATGAGCAGACAGCAAGCCAGCTACATACGTAAAGTAGCGCATAGCATTTGGGAGTTAGTTTTCTATCTTTTTTATGGGAGAAAGTAGAATGTGGGCGCCCATGTTAAGTTAAACTGCGTGTCAGCACAGCCTCTAGAAGTATATGTAACTATCAACCAGCCAGCCAACCAACCAACCAACCCCCATTTCACCCGAAGGAATGAACGAAAACCAGGAGACGAAGAGGGAAAGGCCTACTAACCTCGAGAGAATGGTTGGCCGAGAGAAGCGACGTTGAGAAATTGCATCTTTTGGCTATGATCCAAATTCTCAGATTTTCTCTCTCGCCCTCCGCCAACGTTACGGTAACACTTCACAAACTCGCAAACTTTCTTTTCCACCAGTGTGTGGACAATATATAGATTCGCCGAAATTCCCCACTAACCAACTCAGAATCTAAATTGAGTCATCTCTCCTCCTCCCAATCGCAACCACAACCACCACGCTTTCACCAATTCCGCACGATTGCATACTCGGCCAGTTTCAAGAGCGGTGCAGGTTTCGATACGGGTGTTTCGATATTTGGATATATTTGTTAAATAATACGCAAATGGGACGACCGTGTTACCCAAGGAAAATTGAATAGACGGTTATGTATATTTATATGTCAGCAATGCTTGTTTTCTACATACGGGAAATAGATTTTCCGAAAATGATCATACATTGTGAAAGAAAATTGATACATGTCCACGCGTGCATGATATAAGTACGTTCGATAAATTTGGAATAAATAACCGTAAAGTATCGTCAAAGAAATATAATTTCATTTTATTATATTTATCTACATTGTCCATATTTGTGCTTTGAATGTTACCTGAATACCTTCACGTTGATCAAGTTTCTTTCATCGGGAAAATATCAAAGTGATGATTGCGAACATAAGAGCATTAATGGGGCGAGTTGAAGGCTGAATGCTCTGTGATCACGAATTCATTCAACGTGATATCGTCATAATTCGTGGAATAAATAAATATAGCAAAATATAAATTGCAACATTGAGCTCCCAATCTTTGATTAATAATGAGACATGTTTAGTACTCTTTCACCATATAATTTCGCCTTTCACTTCAAAGACTGAAGAACATGTAGCATTATTTACAGAGCTACATATTCTACCTTGATGAATTAAGTAGAAGGAAAGAATGGCGTGTTTTTGAGAAATTTTTCTCCATATGAAGCACAACCGCTCCTTGCAGTGTTTCCTTCTTCCTTTCTCTTGAAGATTCTAAATTAAGAAAGTTCGCTGAGGGTGTAATCGGAGGGAGCAAGGAATGGATTGCAGGTGGGATGTGACAAGACTCCTGGGACGAAGTGGATGGATGATTCTGAGGTGCAATAAGTGAGCCGATCGATGGGATGGTGATGCGAGCTTTCCCTTTTACCACCACCACCAACCTCACCACGACTGCAAAATCGCCGTAAAGCTCGTTTCTCCATAAAATATTCCTTCCCCGACAAACTTTACTGTCTTTTAGTACAAAGTTATGTGTTTTCAGGTAGTAAACCTCTCGATTCCGATTTCGTCTTAATTTTAAGTTCAGCACATAAGCTTCCTCGAGGAGGAAGAGCATGAAGAAAGATTGTTATGGGCTACGATGATGCAACAATAAAACAACCTACGCTTCCCATTTTTCGAAACCAATCATGAGTAAATAACAACGGTGACATGATGTGCAAGAGTTGGATGCAGTAAAGTAAAATGTATGTGTGCCGTATGAATTGGAAGGAATAAATTCTGGCGGTGCAGAATCACTCACAATTCCCATCTTTACACATTCCTAGCTCAACCCTACTTCATAAGTACAGTCAGCAGTATTTTTTACAGATAGGATTTCAATTTCATTTTAGTGGAACCACTTCCACGTAGGAGACCATGGTCCAGATGTGATTACGTGTGAAGCACTATAACCCAAGTCCTTCTGGGTATAATCAGTTCCGCTCAACTTGAGAAACCAATAGCTCTTTGGAACTTCCATATTGTAACCTTAGGTGAAATAGAACCGATCATACCGTTGCAATGACAAATATGTAATTTTGATCGGCCTGAGGTTGTTATTTGGTTGATGTATACGGTTTATAAATTCAGAATTTTATGAAATGTAGTACTGCAGGACATTAAGTGACTGAGTTTTGTCCTAAGTATGCCTTGTATGAATTTTGTACTGTTACACTAGAATGAAGTACAAGATCCTAACCTTAAATATGGTTATATACTCCTTTGAGATTTAGTCCGATTTATCTTTGTTGCCCAATACTTTTCAAAAACCAAAGTAAACACGAGTACATGATGGGTATCACAAAATGGCAGGGAGAAAGTCATAATGCAATTTCATGTGAATGTAAAACATTCATTTGAAAATCGAACTGCCCAACAAAACGACTATCACATTTTTATGTTTTGTATTCTGTGTCCTCATAAAACAAGAGGGGACGTCCGTTCAATATTCCACGGGATTTACGCCACAACTCGTCATTTGTGCTGAAGTGTAAAGGGAATGGATGCTATTGGACAGGCTGTGCCGAAACGAAGCAAAATTGATCATTACTATTTTATGATAAGGAAACTACTGGGAGAAAGTGACACTTTGTGCAGCACATTACAATTCGCGGCATGGCACAACACGGTCATAAAATAAAAACTGATGTGCACAAAGTCCAACCGCAAACAAAGCTAAATGTCGACAGGAACGTGTAAAACCACGTCCGTGGAGCAATCAAAGACTGATATTTTGTAATAATAAGATGTTGACAAGTCCAAGCATGGGA